TTTTTACTAATTTACTTTGACAATTAAATAAGTTTTCTGCAAACCGTCTTTGGAACCTATAAAATCAGATAATAAAAATAACGAGGCAATTACTGGGAGAGGTAAGTATCAAAATCAGACACGAAGTAAAAGTAAAAGTGAATAAATTTGTCGCGTGCCCGGCAAAAACAAAACCGCTAATAATCAATATTTAAGTCAATTAGAAATGAACTGATGCGTAAAAAGCGTAAAAAAACATGGTAAGGAAGTAAAGTAAACATATTATTTTAATGAAGTAATCCAACGAGTTAATGACAATGACCGTTAAATTTTTAAGGAAGTCAAACAAACAGGCGAAAGTTCAGGATAAATGCTAAGGCGCGTACACATGGAGCGAAATAATAGTTGTTAATCAATTCGTTCGGTCAATGTGTATCTACGTGGCGCAGTCCCATTATTAAATCCGTAATTCCATGGAAGGCCTAGGTATTACATGAAATTATTTTTTATTGCCTCGCCAGGCGTAGAACTTTTTCTTCCTCCCTCAGGTAGAAGAAGAAAAAAAATGCGTATTTGTATTTTCATTCCATATTGCTCATCAGTTTCAGGAAATACTTATGTCTTGTTTTTCCTCCCCATCGAAGGTCCCAGATTTTCCACCTGCTTTTTATAGAAAAATTGCGTAGATGCACATAATTATATTATCAATGGTTCTCTTTGAGGGGAACCTCTTCAGAAACTTAATGTTGAAGTCGTTTCCTCGCAGTTTTTCCGGAGAACACAGTTTGTTAGCATACCCCTGAAATTCGTACTTTCGCAGATGGGCAAATCAAAAACTATACACTAAGTTTGATATCCCTAATAAACTACTATTTTGTTTATAATTAATTCCATTCCCTCATTATTCATATACAGTGTGTCCCGCTTAAGGACTGACCACCCTTCTAAAATTTTTATTTTTCAACCGATTCAATTCATTTTTTTTTTGTCTTGTAGCTACTCGAATTTGGCACTTATAAGGCTCATAATTTTATTTCTACGGCTGCACTGGTTTACAGGGTGTTTTATGGGCTCAAATTTCAATAAGTAGTATTAGGGATTTTTTTAGAAAAAATCTGATAGCAGATTCCTGTTTAGAATGGTCTAAAACCCTAATGTACGAATTTTTGTTCCAATAGGATACAGGGTGATCACAACAAATTTTCAAAATTTAATGAACCAAACCGGAAAAATTTCATATTTTGAGACCTTAAGAACAACAAAACTTGATACAACATATTTTTAGAACATCCTTAACCCTTAACCAAAACTTGTAGTAAGCTTGTCTCAAAATATAAACGGTTTGATCCATTAAATTTTAAAAATTTGTTGTGATCACCCTGTATCCTATTGGAACAAAAATTCGTAAATTAGGGTTTTAGACCATTCTAAACAAGAATCTGCTATCAGATTTTTTCTAAAAAAATCCCTAATAGTACTTATTGAAATTTGAGCCTATAAATGTGGACACCCTGTAAACCAGTGCAGCCGTAGAAATAAAATTATGAGCCTAATAAGTGCCAAATTCGAGTAGCTACAAGACACAAAAAAAATTAATTGAATCGGTTGAAAAATAAAAATTTTAGAAGGGTGGTCAGTCCTTAAGCGGGACACACTGTATAATCAACACTCATCAGACCATAAGATTTTTATGTTTCCTTAAGCCACACCTAATGATAATAAACGACGAACTTGCAATAATGCAATACCCTCAAAAATAAACAAACGAATATGAAACTATTCGTCCCCCAGGATACAAAATACAATCTCAACGACGAAACAGGGAAGAAGTTCGGCAACAACAATAGGAATGATTCGTTAGCTGCATGTATGTATGTGTTCACGTGCTTTTACGCCACTGCTTCCGCCATATTGTCGTACTTTGATTAAACGTAATCTTTTTATAAATAACGGAAAAGTATCGTGTGTGCATGATGGAATACAAAAGTTTTATGATTGCATAATATTTAATAGCCGTAGGTACCAAAAATTCAGGAAGCATTGAACAGCTTGTTTGTTGCCGTTTAATAGAAATATAAATATTTTTATTTTACTTCCTATTTTTATTATCGCTAGCATATGATTGTTGTGATGGGCAGCGTGAAGAAATACAACTACCGATGTTGAAAATAAATGATAGATAATTATGGTCCAACGGCCAACAACATACAGGGTGGGGACTTTAACTGGAACTAATTCGCTAGAGCCTTCGGATAAAATATGTGGACAAAACGCAAAAACACGTCGATCAAGATTTTTTGCTTGAGATTTTTTCATATTAATTTTTTTATACAGGGTGTTCCAAGAACAGCTGTACGGTTATCAACTTTATTTTTCCAAATGGTAGCCCCTGTATATTATGACATTTCTGGATTCTGCGGATAATTATAGACATGTTTCATGTACAATGTCATATACCTATCTTCAACTGTTTCGGAAATATTGACAGTTGAAAATTAATTTTTTTGCAACTTTGACAGGATGTAAAACCTAAACGGTTAATTTTAGAGGAAAAGCGGTTTCACATTCCTATCTTAGATTTTCATAAACTATCATTTGACACTAACTTTGAATTTAACTGGAGATTGAATTTAAGTGGAATTTTTAGTCACGGATTAAATTCAAAGTTGGTGTCAAATGATAGCTTATGAAAATCTAAGCTAGGAATGTGAAATCGGTTTTCCTCTAAAATTAACCGTTAAGGTTTTACAGCCTGTAAAAGTTGCAAAAAAGTCAATTTTCAACTGTCAATATTTCCGAAACAGTTGAAGATAGGTATATGACATTGTAAATGAAATATGTCTAGAATTTTCTGCAGAATCCAGAAATGTCATAATATACAGGGGCTACCATTTGGAAAAATAAAGTTGACAACCGTACAGATGTTCTTTGAACACCCTGTATAAAAAAATTAATGTGAAAAAGACTCGAGCAAAAAATCTTGATCGACGTGTTTTTGCGTTTTGTCCACATATTTTATTCGAAAGCTCTAGCGAATTAGTTCCAGTTAAAGTCCCCACCCTGTATATGTATAATATGCTAACGGTCAAGAGAGGTAGATTTGGTATATTTTGAAAATATGGGGTGTGATGTTTATATTTGTTGTGATTTGATTCTTATTGTAATAAAGATGTTGCAATCTAATTTTGTTTAATTAGTTTTTTCAATTTATAATTATTATTACAGCTTGATTGTTAGCTTGATTCTAACCAAAAACTAGTTACCTTGTCAAAACTCAAGTGTCAGGTTATGTTGACTTTTCATTAATGTTTATAAACCTAAGAGGGTGTATATATCGTAGGCATTATGCAAATTTGGGCTTTTTATAATTTGCCTAGGCATTTTACGAAAAGCCGGCAAAACGCAAGCATAAAATGCATTATGCATTTTTGTTATGCCGGCTCCAATTCAGGCAAACTGATAAAATGCCGGCGGAACAAGAACAGAAGAATATATATCATGTTGTGACTGATTATTTTTAGGCATTTTACAATTTACCAAAAACGGTGCCGTCAAAACGTGAAAATAAAGTCGAAAATACTATTAAATATAAATAATACAGTTTATAATGCTCAGGCAATTTAAAAAAAAAAACCCAATAGAATGTGACAAAATTATGAGTTAGAAAATATAATCACATTGTCCGGGCATTATGATTAATGCTGGAGTGAAGTGAATAGCTTGTCTGATTAACATTGCAAACTAACCCAGACTAACCGGGTTATTATCAGTAAGTTTGATGATGTCTGATTAAAATTGCCAACTAACCCAAACTAACTGGATTATTATCGGTAAGTTTGATAATGATAACGGACTGAAATTAAAATGCATGTGTGTGTTTACCGCACGCTGGTAGGAAAATCTGTCACACATGCTACTACTGGGCAGTTCAATAACAGCTGTTTGGAGTGCTCCAACCAAACTGTTCGGAGTACGCGAACTGTTCGGAGTACTCCAACTGTTTGGAGTGATCCAACTGACCGAAGTACTTCTACTGTTTGGAGTACTGTTAAGATCGGAGTAATCTAACTGTTCGGAGTACTCCTATTAATCGGAGTACTCTAATTGTTCGAAGTACCTCCAACTGTTGGGAGTACTCCGAGTACACCAACTATTCGGAATACTCTGGTTACTCGAACTGTTTGGAGTACTCCGAGTACTCTTATTGTTCGGACTACTCCAAGAGTTCGGAGTCCATTGCCAAACTTACCGATAATAACTAGGTTAGTTTGCAATTTTATTCAGACATTACCAAACTTACCGATAATAACCCGGTCATCATCGTTACAGTTCGTTTAATACTTGTTATAAGTGTACTGATTAAAAGCGAAGCGCATTCTTGATGTTTCTAAATTTTATATCAACATATGAAGGACTAGTACGCATTACGTGGACGGGTTATTTTCCATACTTTTGGTTAGTTTCGTTACAGTTCGTTTATTACTGGTTATAAGTGTACCGGTTAATAATATAGCACGCAAACCGGAAACGGAATGCGAGCTACAAGAACGGATTTTAGATTTGTGATTAGCGACCAAAATTATACCTTCCTACAAAAAATCAACAAATTCAGATTGGATAACAGATAATAGATAATTAACCTAATAACTGATCGAAAAAAGTCGACTTGTTTTATATCTATTCACGTTTTGACGGCACCGTTTTTGGCAAATTGTAAAATGCCTAAAAATAAGCAGTCACAACATGATATATATTCTTCCGTTTTTGTTTTTCCGGCATTTGATCAATTTGCCTGAATTGTTGTCGGCATAACGAAAAATTCATTTTATGCTTGCGTTTTGCCGGCTTTTTGTAAAATGCCTAGGCATTTTTGGAAAAGCCCAAATTTGCATTATCCCTACGACATATACACTACATTTTTCCTCTACTTTAAATAAAAAGAAACTTACTCTAAATTGTATGTTATATAAAAAAAAAACTAACTTTGATTTAGTACGAAAATAGTTAGGTATTTGAAAAGATTAATCAGAATTAAAATCTGTAGCGTAATCTTCTAAGTGACTGGGCTTCTTCCGATTACGTTGAGGTCTTCGATCAGCGGTCATTTCGTTAGAGGCTATGTCGACATCTGTACTAGAGGTGGTAGATTTTTGGTTTTCGTTGTGTTTTTCATTCAGGCTGGTGTTGGGATCTTCATGTGCATTGTCATCTTCGTCGTCGTGGGAACTTTGACTTTCTTGAGGGAAAAGTGAGGCATAGTCATCATCTTCTGGTTCATAAGTCGAAGAGTTTTGACTGATTGCAAAACATTTTCTACCATTTCTTCAGGTGTTTGTCTGAGATTAACCTTCCATGTAGTACTCAGAGGAAAAGGTTTAATTTGTTGTGGTTTAGGATAAATATTAGGAGCGAGTTTGGTAGATGATAGTCTTGGGATAACTGGGTAAAACCGTTTAAAAAATGATGAATTTTTTTTTCTGCTCTTTCCATCTCTCTCTGCCATGATCTGTGTACCTTTCATTTGCTTTATTATGTATAGATTTGGATCAAATCTGGATGTGAGGCTGTTCTTTTTAATCTGCATGTATAAAACAGAGTCTCTTACAGCTATTTGCACCGGTGTTCCTTAAAAACAAACTTAAGTTAGGTAGAGGCTAAGCTTAAGGTGAACCTTTAGGTTGAGTTGCTTTGCACCGACCAAATCTTAGCTAAGAATTGAAAGCTATTGGCATCAGCGCAAAAATGCGTATTTTAAGGCAGAAATGAAGATGGAGGTACCTATTTCAAGCAAGGAATTTATCCGTTAACTTATCCTTGCGATTAAAATATAAATATTTTCGTTAATTTCGTCTTTTCTTTCATAAGTTAGGTATATCACGTGGATATTATTTTGAATATATTCTTGTGCAAAATTCTGTAAAAATGACCCGACGCACAAAAATAAAAGCATTAACAAATAACTAAATAACAGCAACAACAACCATAAAAAAAAACTTCGGAAAACTTGTTTTTGCTATGAAAATAAACATAAATATTTTTTTTTTTGCTTTAAACATGCAGTCTTCGGAGAAAAGGCTCTTGGAACCTTGGATATTACAAATATAAAATCATCGATAATCAATTTCAACCAGAATTCTGTCAAAAAAAGAAAACAAATCCATAAATGAGGTTAGAATCCAACTAAGCGGAGAAAATCTGGGGCTTAACTTAACTAGACTTGAGGTGTACACGAAACAGCGGTGCAAAGCAAAATCGTAGTTTAAATTCCACTTAAGACTAAGCTGACCTTAAGTTGTAGCGGTGCAAATAGCAGTTAGTCTAAAGTTGTGTTTTTGTTTTCTTCATCTCTGTTTTATCGTGTGATGATATTCGTGTTGAGTTTCTTGGGTCTTATGCATTGGTAACATGGTAACATTCGTTGATGTTTCTTTGAAATACTAATTTAAACGGCGTTCTCTCTGTGGTAGAGTGTGGTGTACTACGATAATTCAGAAGAAACTGTTGGAATTATGAATCAAACTTTTGGTTTCTAAGTGGGCACAAATAAGTGACTTATTAAATGACTCTACAAACCTTTCTACTAAACAATTTGCTTCGGGCCAATGAGGAGTTACTCGTAAGTGTTTTATGCCAAGATTTTCTTAGAATAATTTCATTTCAAGATTATTAAACGGAGATCCATTTTCCGATTTGATTTGTTTAGTAATTCCAAATGTGCTAAATGTTCTCTCAAATATTGTTTTAATGCTAGAAAAACTTATCAAGGGCACTACTTCTGCTAGTGGGTATAACTCGAATATTCATCCACTAAAATGAATACATACTTACTTATGATTGGGAAACGGACTACCAAAATCTATATCTAGCTGACTAGATGGGGTATCTGGGTAGTTTTGATGAAATAATTGTATCTCTGTGCTTTGTTTCTGTTACGGCTTCGCAGGGTGTACAATTTTTGATAAATGTTTCTGGTAATTTATCGATGTTTGGAAACCATATTTTGGTGCGTAGTAACTATTTCGTTTTTACTATACCCATGTGTCCTTTATGTGTTAATTCTATAGCACACTTTTGAAGTGAAGTTGGCAAAATAATGCGTGTACCCGTACCTGTTAGTACTATGTTGTCTTGGACAGTTATTTCATCTTTGATTTTATTGAATGGTATTTTGCTGTTTCTTATCGTATCGATTAGTGCTGATAGTACTCTGTTGGTACTGTTAGTACCCTGTCGTTTCTGGCTTTAGGTATCGATGTGTGTACCAAAAAGTTCACATATTCTTCAATTTTGGTGTGATCTGACACTGTTTCTAACAGATGTGTGGATGTGGATAAATAATCAGAAGGATTTGATGTTGCTGTTTGATGCACAACTTTAAATTCATAATCTTGGATAAGTAATAAAAGTGCCTCAATACGAGCACTAGGACATGAACGACTATTTCCTGAAATTTTCACAAGTGGAAGATGATTAGTAGGAAGTGTGAATTTTGAACCAAACAAGTATATGTTGAATTGATCATGTACATACTAATGTTTCCTTCTCTATCTGGCTGAAGGTATCTCTTTTCGACCTGTGTTAATGTTCTACTCGCATAAGCGATTATGTTACTTCCTTGGGTTACCAATGCACCAAATTCTTCAGGTCCAGCATCAACAAAAAGATCAGTTGGTTTGTTGATATTGAAATACGATAAAGTAGTAGCTTGTGATAACTGCTGTTTTATTATCTCAAATGTCCTGTTGTGTTCCGAATTCCAGTTCCATAGTGCGTTGTTAAGTGTTAAATCTCTTAAAATTTTCGTATTATCCGCTAAATTAGGCAAAAACTTTGAAAGGTAATCATGCCCAGAAGACTTCCAACTTCTGAAGGGTTTTCTGGTGGTCTCGTGTTTAAAATGCTATCTATTTTGTCAGGGTCTGGTTGGATTCCCTCACTTGAAAACAAATATCTGAAAAACTTGACCTTTGGGACACTGAAAATGCATTTTGAAGGTTTTATTGTTAAATTTACTTCTCGTAATTTTCTTAAAACGATGAATTGTGTTCTTCTATTGTTTTTCCAAAAACTAATATGTAATCACTGTAATTGATTACACCTGGAATGTTAGTAATAACCTGTCTCACAGTATTTTGAAAATTTTCTGCAGCAGCATTTACTCCAAAACTCAATCGCTTGTAACGATAAAGACCTGCGTGTGTCGAAAAAGTAGTTATGTAACGTACCTACTTTCTTCACTTAACGTTAGTTGATGATATCCATCTTTTAAAATAATGGTGCTGTACAATACTGATCCGTTTAATTGATTGATGATGTCATCAAGTGTTGGAGTGACGTGTCTCTCTCTTAAAATTGCTTTGTTAGCAGATCTCATGTCAACACACAACCTTATTTTATTGTTGTTTCGTTTTGGGACTATAACTATTGATGATAGCCATGGTGTGGCACCAGTTGCTTTTTCGATAACATCAACATCCTGTGTTTCTAACCTGTTCAATTCTTCTTCGACCTTCGCTCGAAGGTGGTATAATACCTTGGAATTCTTCTGTGTTTCTGTGCAACAGGAGTTATATTTGGATCTATATATAGTTTGATCTCACAGTTTTTCAGGTTACCAATACTCATACAAATTTCTGGATAATTGTTTTGAACATACTTTATGTCAATAAATGTTTGAGTAAGTTATTAAATTTAATCTGAATGATGTGTTAATAACTCAATAATGATTGGCAGTCACCCTGTACAACATGAATAAGAGCTTCTGTTGAATTGTTTCTGATGTGTGTTAAAACTGCTGTAAATTTCCCTAATATTTTCAATTTATTATTAGCACAGTGGGCATAAATGTCTGTACTGTCTTCACATAAGATTTTATTATTTAGATTTTAATTTTTTTTTTCACCTATTAGATTTACAGAGCCACCTGTATCTATTATGAAGTTAACTAGACTGTTATCAATAAAAATATCAACAGTAGGGATGTCACTAACTCTATTTATAATAGTATCGTCAAAAGAATTTTCAGAAATGTTATCATTTTGTGAAAAATGACAAATACCATTTCGTGCTGGACACTACTGTCTACCATTTAAATGCCATTTATTTCCACAGTTTTTACATTGTCTAATCACATTTGATTGATTGTTATGTTGGCTGGATCTGTATGCATTTGATTGAGTGCTAATATTTGTTTGACAGGGCGAATAGTGATTATGTTTTGTTGTGTTGCTTGTTTCATTTCTATTACTTATTCGAGAAACTACCTCTGTGTTCGGTTCCATTTGTTGAGCCTGAGTGTCTGTTAACTCATATGCCTTAGCTTGGGCAAGCAGTTGCAGCAGATGGGTTTTCAGCTAATCCATACTTCCTCAATCTTGAAGGTGTAGTACATTGAATTATCTGAGATTTATTCTCTTTGTTCTTGTCGTTAAAGTTACAATTAGTACTCAATTTCAATAGCCTAGCATTATATTCTTCAATAGACTCTGACATCATCTGTTTAGCTTGTCGAAAATTAAATATTTCAAATTCTGTGCTAATTTTAGGCACGAAATGAGTGTTCAATTTCTGCTCAGCAGTTTTATAAGACGATATAGGGGGTTGGGATGGAGGCGGATTAGGAAGAGAGCAGTAAATTTCAAAAACCTCTACACCTGCACAACGCAAAAACATTGCTTCCTTCCTGTTGTCATCTGTGATGTAAGCGGAAATGTTGTCAGCAAACCTATTTCCAAAACGTTGTTTCTCTCACTGTAAATAATAATCAACTCGTCGCCAAATGTGATGTTTATGTTTTTTATGATTTGATTCTTGTAATAAAGGCGTTGCATTCTGATTTTGATTAATTAGTTTATTCAATTTATAATTATTATTACAGCTTGATTGATAACTTGATTTTAACCAAAAACTAGTTACCTTGTCAAAACTCAAGTGTCAGGTTATGTTGACTTTTCATTAATGTCTATAAGCCTAAGAGGGTGTATACACTACATAGGGGAAAAGTTTTCTACAAAAATTGTAAAGATTGTGATTTGAGAAGATTCAACGTCTCTGATATCTCTAGCGTAGTGACTGAGAGACCGTCAGCTAATGACAAATTTTGCTGACTGATTTTCTCTTTTCCGGGATTTCAACCACTGAAAATAAAGTCAGTACTGTGCTCAAAAAATGAAAATTTAGCAACCAGCGGCCGTCTGCTAGGCATATGGAAAATTTATTTTCATTTTGCAGCGGCGGGAAAATTTACCTCAACAGCTGACCGGCTTATGAAAAAAAAAATTCTGGTTCCTAACGATATCAAATTGGATTGTATCGATTGCGATAAGCAAGAAAATGCATCAGCAACCGAGTATTCTTTTACAAGATCGCGCCCTTATGTCAACCCTTCAAGTACGTGTAAACCTTACAAACCTTGGGCAGCGAACAGCATTACATATTCAAATATAATAATAAATTACATATAACGTTTATATCATCATATATGTCTTACCTTGTTCTATTCATGGCTTACTACATTCCTGGTTCAGTTATCAATCACCAATGATTTACCGTTACGTAAAAACATCAGTTCCGCAAACACGGAAAATGTCTAAAAAGTCCGGAAACGCAAAAACTCGGATATTATTTTTCGGTTGAGTGCGCGTCCGAAAGTAGGTTGGTTTTGTATCTACATCAGGGTCAAATAATAATAATAAAAAAAAAACTCGGTAGACGAAGAGGTGTCAAGACTATGGTATTCCGCACTCTCAACGCTATAACCTACCGATTTACTTTCTCTAATATGTCGTCAGTGGCGTAACCCCGAAGAAAGGAAAAGTGTACGTATACACGACAAGTTGCGCAATAATGACTTAGTAGGTATCGGTTGGTGTCGGCATAGTTTTTGGTTGCACCTAAAAAATTCTAATAGGTTACAAAAATTAAGAAGTGAAATAGTGATAGTGCAGGATCTATAGACCTGAACTTGGACAAATCATACATCAATTGAGTTAATTTGGGAGTTATAGGGTAGGTCTAGGAGAGTCTTGGGCCAGAAAATCACTACATTTCGCTTGCCGTCTTGAATTAAAGAGTAAGTTCCGTTTTTTGGCAATCGCTCTTGAGATGGGCGACAAAATCAATATAAACAATGTTGTAGATAAAAGTATTTCCTGTATTCGCAAAAAAGCATTTGATTTACCGACTCAAATGAGTTCAGAGAGAAGAAGTAGGAACGTCTATGCTTATCCAGTCACCACCGTAGCCGTCACCAGAAATCCAAGTAGGTACCCACTGCGGGACGAGTAGGTACGTGGCTGGAATCAAAGCAATTCCAACGGACACGGAATAATCAATCCATAAGATTTCAATCCTCCCCCTAAATTGGTGGTACACGGAATAATTTAATCAACGAACTTTCCGAAGAAAATGTTTAGCAAGGAGATGCCCAGCGTGCAAAACTAACACTTCACACCAATCAAACCTGTACTAGATAGCCAATAAAGAGGAATTGCCTCGTGTTGCGCGCGCATACAGGTAAGAATAGATAGGTCGATAGACTTAGAACCAATAATCTAACCAAATTTACGAATGCAATAATATTCATACATTTATATTGAGTTTGTAACAACAATTTTAACAGTTCCTGCCTCTAGGTTATTTGGGGATCTTAGAAAAAAATCCCAACAAATGTCTCACATTCGCCTGCGTGAAAGGCAGTCAATGGCTGCTTACGATCAAGCACTTTTTTCACCTAAGTTAAAGTTAGTTTCTTAGCTGAGCTAAGTTGTTTGATCGTACGCGCAATTCATATCTCGTTATTTTGTATATGTGATCTGTTCCATCGACTGATATATTTAAACTTATTATTTCCTCGTCGTTAAATTTAAAACTGACTTTGAAAGTTTCATATTCCATTTCGTGCAATGACAATTAATAATTAGGGAATCCAAACCACGTGACTTTTGCCAGCCAGCCGGCCGGCATTTTGAAATTTTTATGAGGTTAGAAAACGGGTTGTTACATGTCAACGATGTCAGAAAAGTGTCAGATTTGAGTAACTCGCCCCGTGTATTGATAAAGCCTAGTACTCATAACCGCGAAATTCGCTCTTTTTTGACATTGCTTCGACAATTAGACGTTTGATTCACGCATAAAACGTCAAATTGTCGAAGCAATGTCAAAAAAGAGCGAATTTCGCTGTTATGAGTACTAGGCTTAATCCTGCCAAAAAAAAACATATGTTTTTTGTTTATTGTTTGCCAACCAGACGCCATTTGGACAGGTCGTTGGATTGCCTAATTAATTTCATTAAACTAAACACCTTTTCAAAGTTCCTGTTCCAACGACCAACTTTCAACAAAACAAAAATAAAGAAATATAACCTCAATTTAGAAATTATTAAACGTCAAAAATTCAAAAAATGCGTACTTCGCGCCAACTTAGGTCAGCTAAGTTATCTCAGTTAAAAATCCGGGTGTCTTAGCAGGGGTAAGGGGGGAGTGCAGATTCTAACTTAGTTGTGACAAATCATACGCGCAGCTTAGTTAGATTCTTCAAGTTAGGTAAGAAAAGTGCTTGATCGTAAGCAGCTTTTGTGTCCGCGGTCTTTGCTACGTCGTAAAGTATAGATAGAGTACAGGTGCGACCCTTGTGGTACTCCTGCTATTAGCCTTCTCGCTCTCGAGCGTTATCGGCTCAATTTAACTAAATAGGTATGGCCAGCTAGAAAGCTATGTATGTATAGCAAGAAAACAAAAATTGAGCAATGGACTCAAACAACACCAATATGACTGCCAACAGAAATACAGGACGAGAGCCGAAAACACTGCGTTGGCACAACACCAATTTCTAGCAAATCTTAAAATACCTTTACTTTTGATGACACAAACATTCTTGACAGGGAGACAGATTATGTGAAGCGTTGCATAAGTGAGATGATATACATACAGATTACCGATAACAGGCAATTTTTCGCGAGGATTATCAAGCATAATCTGATTATGCTGGGTTATGTGATGTGTCAATAATTGTGTCATACCTCCCCTAACTCCTTCACCCTCAAATTCTGGGCCTGCGAGTGACGTCACGATCAGCAGATAATAGTGATGACGTCACTCGCAGACCTCGACGGAATGCTTGCGATTTAGGCTGTGCTAGTAAGTTAATTTTTTCGTCGATTTTAAATGTAGAAAAGGTGATTTTCGGTCTGTTCTCACAAAATAAATTAAGTGTTCTTGTTCCTCGAGTATCCCAGTATTTGATGGTAGGGGAGTCAGGGGAGTCGAACACTTTGAATGTTGACAGATTAGTTTAATTTTATTTAAGCCCGGTTTATGAATCCAGATAAACTTGCTGGCAACTATCTGCAAGATATATTTATCGTTCTATAATTCTATTAGACGGCGGATAACTGGCCGATCAATAGGATTACAGATTGCGTTTTTATCCGTCAGATTCCATACCTGACAGTTTATCAGAAGGTGAATAAATACCGGACCTTAATGTTTTAATGATTGAGTTAATTAGTTTTTTAATCTTTTACTTTTCTCTTTGAATTCCATAATTTTAGTGTGCCAATTTCTGTTACCATAATATAAGAGGAGGAATGGAAATTTTGTATTTCGTGCAAATTGTTTAATTTAGAAAATCACTGCAGAGCGCTTTACCACCTAGTAGTACCTGAAATATGATATTTATTGTCAAGGATTTTAAAGTGTTGTACCTGTCCAATGTGGCGTCCCAATTTTTTTGCTCATTCTTCTGTACTCTACCTGACGAAGTAAGTAGAAATGACTCCCATCCTGGGATTGATCTCTTTTGTTTTATATTGAATTAAAATCAAAAAATTATCACATGGGAAACTCACAACTCAATCTCTTTATATTTTCTATATTCTACCATATACCTGTCTTCCTCTTTGCTTTTGATAGCACTGATGATGGCCTAAAGGCCGAAAGCGCTCCAAGCGCTCTGCACTGATTTTTTAAATCAAACATTTGACACGAAATACAAAATTTTCATTCCTCCGCATTTCCAAGCTTGCACACAGCCGTCAAGCTTTGATAATCTACCAAAATATATGATCGAAATGTCGCTGAATAAATGACAACTTCTTTATTTGCTGTCCTATTTCCGCTACTCCTTTCACTTGGCTTGTTTTAGCCCGGAGGATAAGGGAAACTATGTGGCTATTAGGTATACAAGCATGAAATTTGGCAGCCACATTCTTAAGGCGATTTCAAGAGATTTTAGTCGAGTTTCTAAAAAATTCCTCCATAGGGTGGGGAGTTTTCGCCATTTTTCCAAAATGGCCGACTTCATTTTTTAAAATACCTATCGTAGAATGGCCTATTTTCTTTAAAAAAAAAAAAACATTAGGAATATTCTTCGATTTCAAATAAAACTTAGTGAAATTTTAGACCGATAGAAAATGGCTTCCGGCGACTACAGTAGCTCTTTTTTAAAATGGCGGCTAACTTACATAAAAATCTAACCAGACACTCAACCATAACTTCAATATCTTGTGATACCCTGATTTCGACTTATTTTGGATCGAGGTCCGAGGAATCCATTTCTTGTGAGAAAAATATCAAACATGTTGCTATTTTGCTTTTAGGCGACATTTTTTCAATATGGCGACCCTAAATTTGACACAGTTTTGAACTTATAGCTTATGGGGTATCGTTTGATAGGTATTTCGACTTTCTAAATCCAATTTTTACAACAAAATAAACGTAGGAGCTTCCGTTTTTTATTTTGGGGCCATTTTTAAGAATGCCTGCTACCAATTATCTTAACAATCGGAATTATAGCACGTGGGGATATCATTTGATATTAGTTTTTTCCTGCTAACATAATTTGGCAAGGAGAAATAAATATATAGTATTTCAGTATTTGTATCTCAAATATTATATGTGAGGACATCTATTCTTTGCTGTTCAAACAGTTAGGGAGCGGCACTACCGTTAGGAGTCTTCTGGGAAGTGACAAATCTCTTGCCTTACGTGGTTTCCCTAGTTTTATCGGGTGCGATACTACGTCTTTTATTTTGACAAAAGGAAAACGCAAGGTATGGGCTGCATGACAAGAAGATGAGGTTAATGAAGCCTTTAGATGCTTGGGAAGCAAAGACACCGGACACATTGCTTCTGCATTAGTGCCATTACAAAAGTTCGTTGTTTGTTTATACGACAACCACAGCACGGAGACAGATATAGATAAAGCTCGCCAGAAACTTTTTTTTGCAGGTAAACATGACGTCAATATGCTTTCCTCCATTCTTGTTGATAATCCTGGAACAGACTGTCCACAAAATAAAACGAGCACAAAATATTAGCGAACGTTACAGTAAAGAAACCGACGGAAGACTAACCCCTTTAGATTTAATAAAAATAAAAATTATCTCTCTTCTAGCAAAAAAGTAAATTCCGAGAACCGGCGTGGTAGCCTAAACAAAATCTATTTATAGAATAAGGGTTCTATTGTTATCGATGCGAAGAGACGCTTTATTCGTTGTTATTTAAATTGAATATTCCAACAATTCTAGCATCAGTGACACAGCACACGCTAAGAGCAGCATACCAACTTGGTCAAGTTTGAGGTCGAGCTCTTGATGTCAATGAAGACAGCAGACGGTTGGGCTCCCAATTGAACAGATCTTCCCGAGATATGGAAGTCTTTCAAAGATCTGGGAAAGTGCTGCTGTAAAATGGGATGCGTCAATTTGAGTTGCAGTTGCCGCCAAAAACACCTCCCCTGTCCCACAGCTTGTGAAAATCAAGAGAAAAAATGTAAGTAGGATTGCTTCATAATCATATTTTTATTAGGTAATATTAAACTATTATTTTTAGATCAGACCCTACTGAGCTGCAAGAATGAAGCGATTTAAAGCTAAAAGTAACTGCAACATAGCTACAAAAGAAAGCAACTTTCAGTATTATTGGTTACCAAAATTGGTTTAGATTGATATATATATATATTGTACTTATACTTATAGCTTCAAGTATATTGTACATTAGAAGCCGTCATATTAAAAATAGCCTCCAAAATTAAAATGGAAGCTTCTACTTTTGCTATATTTCAAAATTTGTTTAAGAACGTTGAAATAAAGTCCTTCGATTTTAATCTGATACTCCAAAGGAATGTGAGCTGGTAGCAACCTACAGAACGCCAACACCTGACGTCACACCTGTTTTTGCCATAAGCTTCACCCCCTCGCTGCTCATACGGAAAGTGTCAGATTAAAAACGACGGACAATACCTGTAAAACGATACCCCATAACCTATAAAGTTCCAAGACTGTGTCAAATTTAGGGTCCCTATATTGAAAAAATGGCGCTCAAAAGCGAAATGGAAACATGCATATCACAAGAAATGGATTCCTCGACCCAAAATTAGTCGAAATCGAGGTATCACAAGTTATGGTTGGTTGGTTGTGGTTGGGTGTCTGGTTTAGATTTTTATGTGAGTTGGCCGCCATCTTGAAAAAGAGCTACTGTAGCCGCCGGACGCCATTTTCTATCGGTGTAAAATGTTAGTAAGTTTTATCTAATCAAAGAATATTCCTAATGTTTTTTTTTTTTGAAAAATAGGCTATTTTACGACATTTAAAAAAATTAATTATGTCATTTTGAAAAAATGGCGGAGACTCCCCATCCTATGGAGGAATTTTTTTGGGGACTCGACTATTAAAATCTTAAGAATGTGGGTGCCAAATTCCGTGCTTGTATACCTAATAGCCACATTTTTGATTTATTCTAAGCCGTTATCCCCTGTACTATTTTATCTTCAGAAGAATTGCATCTGTGGAACTTCTCCAGTTGTTTCGAAATGTGCTCGACTAATCTCAGTACTTGTAGCATCTCTAGCACCTTGCTCTAAAGAGGCAAGAGATTGACGGGGGAGGGAACAATGACTTGTCCTTTCTGGCTTTTGTAAGCAAGATCACTTCTCACAGGTCTTTCCAGGAGTCTGCTGAATGCTGGAATGATCTTGCTGGAATTTGCATCAGGACTGACATGATTTCTGGTACGTCGCTGTGTTCTGGTTCACTTAGTCTGGCGACGGATCAATTTTTTATCTTTCTCTGGATGTTTATAAATATGGATGGCCCTGATGCTCCAAAGTATCATTGAGTCTCGTGCAATGGTAGTACCCATCATTTCCTCTTCTCAGATAGGTACCTAGTTCTGCATTTGCTATACCCCGATTCGTCAATGAAGCTGAGTTCTTATTTCTGATCCCATATCGGTTATGAAATAATTGTAGACATTTTTAGAGCATCGTCAAGATATTTTTTGTTTTTATTGTTTTTTGCATTTTGAAATAAATTATTAAATTAAGCAGTTGTATTAAACAATAATTAATTTCTTACTTTGCATAGGAAGATAGATGAGAAACTTGATTTTTCCCAGAAGTTGTTGACGATATAAGGTTTAGTTATTCTTTGTCTAAATAATATTGAACGCTTTCTTCACTTTTACGCACTTTTATATTTCGCAAATTGTATACCTCATTATAGTCTCATAATCATAATAAAGTGTTATTTTTAAGCTTAAATCTGTTGGTTAGCTAATATTAGGTATCAAAACTACTTCAGAATCATTCAATTTGTAATTTTTAAATTGGAAAATTGCTTTTGAATAAAGTCCTTCATCAGAATGTTGACCAAATTAAAGAAATCTTTGAAAAGATCCGTCACGGATGCCGGCTATTATCAGTGGCGTGGAAAAACGACTAATTTATATTTTTTCGAAAATTGTAAACCCTAATTGACAACCCGCTCAAAAGTATTATGAATTGTTGTTATATTATGCCACACTTTTTTTTCCTTTTTTTTTTTCAACCAATTATCACTTGAAGCGTGAGGTTTGCTCTAGTAAACTGCAACAACCTTGTATAACGGTACCACCACTGGTCATTCTCAAGAAAATTCTTTTCTGACAAGACAAACAGTTCACTTGAAAGTAATTTAATCGTGTAATAAGCTTTGTTCGGATATTATACGTGCGCGCTCCATATAATCAAATAAATACTTTCTAGAAGATTCGGATTCAAAGGAAAATAGTTTCGTACGAATTCAGTTATCAACGGACGCCCTGTATACTACAAAACTCAAAATTATTGAGGTTGTTGAAACCGTGTTCCTTGCCATCACTTTGAAAACAACATGAAGTGGATTTTTCTCAAAACGTCTTTGTACCTGTTTCTATTGATCCTATTGTGCGACTTTTCGATTGCAAAACGTTCATCAGGCGGACGTTCAAGAGTGAAAAGTAACGGCGGATCTAGTTTGTGGAGCAGAAGAAAAAGCTCTTCGTCTCCGGGTACTGCCAGTGGTCAACACGATGGCTCGCATGGTACTGCCGATCTACAACCTAAGACTGGTGGCTCTGCTGGAGCATCACATGCTACAAAAACTAAACCGTCTGCACCAGTAAGATTGAATTTTTATCACACAGAGCTGTTCAAAGGGCGCTGAGAATATACGTAAAACATATTAATTAGCATCATCAGAAAAATGTGTGTGAAATGCGCGTCTTTTGAACAACCCTCTGTATGTAAATTTTAACAAACAAAGCATTTTTAAATTGTTGTTTGATTTCATAGAATCACGCCATAAAAAAATTATTTGTTTATTTGAATCGTAACAAGAGTTAGTTGATTTAAATAAATTTTAATAGACATTATCCGGTGAGTCAGAGGCATATGAAACGGTATTAATTTCCTATTGTGTAGTATTTTACCATCAAACTTTACCATCACTATCTTTGATTGGTAATCAGCATGTTGTCCCTAAACCTTTTCAAAAAATTGAGTACCAACTAGCTCAAAACAGCCTCCAATTACGACCTATTTTCAGCCATCAAGAAATTAATGAAAAATACTTAAATGCATCAGCCAATTACAATAATTACTGGGAAGCCAATTAAAATCGGCTTGTTTACTCACTCTTTTGTCATACAATGCTACGCATCCAACCATTACTTATCAAATTACCATTTTGTCTGTATTGGCGAATATCCTGTTTCCTAGTGTATTCTCGTCCAAGCAGCATTTGACTTCGAAAAAAATCGCGCGCTTCATTTTATCGGACAATAAACCATGCAGTTTTCCAGAGTATTTCTGTTGATTATTTTGTTGCTATTCACTCAAGAATCTTTTGCGAGAACGAAGAAATCAAGGTCGTCGAAAACTCGTTCCAGACCGACTAATTCTGGATCTAGCGGAGGTAAAACTAGTACCAATGGCAATAGCGATTCTAGTTCGTCGAACTCTTATTCTGGTAATAGTTATAACAGTTACCCTAGTTCAAACAGCTATGGAACAAAACAGCAATCTTCTTCAGGAAATAATCAAATGAACCAAAAAGTACCAGACACAAAATCATCATTTCCAACAGTAAGAAGAGTTTCATTGTCAACAATTTTGTTTATCATTATTTTTGCACCATTTTTTTAAAGCTCTAGGTTGATTACTCATTATATTTAGGTCGAGTCACAATACAATAGAAAACAAACATCGCAATATCAACAAAGCGCAGTTAATCAACAAAACGCGCCAATCGGCTGGAATGTTCCAGGGCAAGCAAATAACAACTATGTAAAGAAAGATACCAGTGCTGCAAATGCACAAAGAAATCCTGTATGGAACTCACCGTCAAGCCCTGGAAAACAACAAAATGCACCTGGCGTTGGCTGGAATAGTCCAGGACTACCTGGAAACAATTATGCGAAAAAGGATGCGAACGTTGCAAATTCTCCTTCAAAGGGTTGGGCTTCTGGATATCAATCCCAAGGACCGAAACGTGTATGGTAGATTTTTAATTCATCACCATTATTTATCATCTTTTTAGCGATTTTGAAAAATGTGTCAGGTACTGAACGTTTATTTTTCATTTCCAGGACGAAGGACTAGTGAAAAAACAAACGGCAGGTGTCCAGCAATCGAATCCTCATCAAGCACAACCCCCGCAGCCTGGATGGAACGTTGGCGGACAAAATAATGCTCCAAATGCTAATTCTGGTAAGGTCTTTAATTGCGAATATCATTAGAGTATGAGAAAATTTATTTTTAGGTTGGAAATCGGGTTACCAAACAAACGGAGCTCCACCGGCCTATCCACATCATAACGCTGCCCCTCCAGGTTATAATGGACAAACCAGTTGGGGTGCACCTCCTGCGTATCCAGGGCATGGTGGTGAGTTCAAATAAATAAAAAGAATAATCCTAGAATTATTGATAAATATATTATAAGCCCTTCGAATTTGTTGTCCCGAAAACGGACAAATCAAAATCATTTCAGTGATACCAATCAACGGTGATACTCTATTTCATTTATCAAATTCGAAATTACTGTGAGAGGATAGATAAACTCCCAAAGTTTAGAGTAATAGGGAATATTCTATAACACGAATTGATCGGAAACTTCCATATCAACTTGGCGGTGGAGTAAAACCGGTCAGACCATCATTAGCAAAGCAATTGCCGTATGAAATAGAAACTGGCGCGGCAAGCTTTTTAAATTAAATTTTTAGCTGATTTTCAATCTGATTAATGAAGCTTATGTTCAAATTACACAAACAATTCCTATTTCAATCTCAAAATACCCATCCTTCTTAAATGGAACTAGATGTTCGCAAATTAAGACTGATTAGAAATTAAGGAATAAATGGAATAATTGTCATTTGGGTTAGTTGAAAGCTCAGTTTGCGAGTAAATTGAATTACCCAAGTTCAACAACGGAATGTTAGCTACATTTTATAATTAACGGAAGAATTTCAGATACCTATTTCAAGTTAGTGGCTCTGATTAAATAACCTTGTTGGTTGATGCGTTAAGTTCCTATAGTACGTAAATGGGAAAAGTGGCTTGGAAACATATTAGTTATATCTACTTTGTAATGGCTTATCCTAAACTTTATTGTATCTGGTGATTCTGGTGATAAAAAATTTGTTCAGTTCATCAAATACTTACAAATTTCGGTATTACTTATATTTTTGCATTATTTTGTCCTGGATTTTAGGCTTAGAATGTAATATGCTGTAAGTACTCTGCACTTTATAATTAAATAAAAATAAAATTTTATAATACACATATAATTTGGTAGATGCGGCAGCACTGAATCACTAGATAGATAAATAAAATATCTAAATCTAACCTAACCTTGCGTTCGGTATTTTGCTCAAAGAGCAGAGCGTGCCGAGTAGAGCAGTAATCACATGACCAACGAGCGAACAGAGCAATTGAACGCTGTATCGGAGAGCCCAAAATTTCAATAAACGAACGCGAATGAGCTTGCACCGAGTACACTTTTCAAATAAACGAACGGTAAATTCAAGCTCGGAGAACTCAGATCAAATTACCGAACGCACGGTAAGATAATATAATTTCTCACTTCCTGAGTTTTAAGTTAGCTGTGAATGGACTGGCATCTATTTCTGAAGTTTAACCTCTTACAACTAAAAGCTAGATTTATAGTGTCAGTATCAGTAACAGTGAAATATTAAAACACGGCCGACCGTAAGGCCATTTATAATTCACTTAACAAACTTATCCGTGAAAATTAAGAAATGGTTATTTTCATATCCGTTCTTAAGTTTTAAGTTACTGTTACTGATACTGACACTATAAATCCAGCTTAAGTCTTACGTTACGAAGCTCTGAGGGGGCCTGGGCAAGACAAGGGATAAATAAGCTCAAGATGGCGCCGATCGCGGCTGGTCCATACCGGTTGCGGAAATTAGTCATTCACTTGCATTGAGATTTGTAGAGGGTTTTCTCTCGAAGCATGCTGAAATAGAGCACATACATATAAAATAAGCTACTGAGGATACATAAATTAAAAGATCAATTACACAATACAGAATAAATCAACAAAAATACACCGGTCTACTGAGTTGTCATGGTTACTGCATCCCTTCATTCCCATCTAGCGGTCAATGTGGTACCCGCAGTGTTGCCAACCACCTCGAAATTGATTGGCATGTGACATGACGATGACATTCATATGACAAGACAAAAACCTCCGCCACAAACAAGGATAATACATACTACAGTGACTCTATAACCCACAGTGACGACAATTGCTGTCTCATTTTTGATTGGTTCTAAAATCCCATATATTTATATTGAAAACACCGCCATCTTGTTCCCAACCCCTTGTTACTTTTAAATATGAATATATGGGATTTAGGTGAACATCCATCATAAATCATGGAAAACAACGTATTTGATGGACCTAATAATGGTCATCAAATACGTCGATTTCAATTTTTTATGATAGATGTCCATTTAAATCCTATATATTAATATTTAAAAGTAACAAGAGGTTGGGAACAAGATGACGGCGGGACCTCTATTGTCGCCACTGTATGTAAAGGTTTATTTAGCCACTGTAATACATACTACATTGCACACTACTAAGGATTGCTTATCAGGCCTCGTTTTTGGTAATCGCCGCAATATTAGTATGTCATCATTTCCGACGTCATTAACAAGTCGTCAGCTGTTTGCACTAGCGGTCGTAGTTTAGAATTTAAATTCATGAGAAACAATATTATTTAATTATGATTAACATAATAGGCAGAGAGGAAAATTAAAACGAGATCTAAAAAAAAAATTGTTTTAAAATGTTAATTATTAATATTAATGTAGTGTAAAACCAAGTTCAAGTATGCATATAAGCTGTATTCCTTTCCAGAGTTTCAAGCACTTGAGCTACTCGCTCCGGTGTTTAGTCGCCCCCGATTTGCAGGGAACAGATGCGTGGTGTAGCAAACACTTTTCGAAAGGAATAAGTGCGTGAAGCCCCGGAGCTGTTCCGGAGCTCCTCCTAGGTCTGAAAGGAATACAACTATAGCAAAAGTCCGCGGAATCATAACCAGCAGGTGCAAACAGCCTACGTCAAGTCGAGAAAAGACATTATGCTACCACGTCACAATTGGGGATTAGGCGTAGTGGAGGGCTTCAGATTTGTTCAACACACGCCCTATGAGGATAGACTATCCTGTAGTACTAGTTTGTATTAGCCTTGCGCCACAAATCCCCAAACACTATAATAAGGCCCGGTTGTACAACGAACGTTCAGCCGAAGTTCACACTGACTAGAGATTCAAAAGTTGTATTCCTTTCAAGAGTTTAGAGTACTCCAGATACTCGCTCCGGTGTTAGTCGCTCCCGATTTGAAAGGAATAGATGCGTGGTGCAATAAACACTTTTCGAAAGGAATAAGGGCGTAACGCTCCGGAGCTGTTCCGGAGCTCCTGCTAAGGGTGAAAAAAATACAACTAATGTTGGATCCATTCTCAAACCTGGTTAACCGATGGATACAACGTCGTTTGACAGTGATTGCTGAAAATTTCGGTTTTATACCGAACGCTTTTCCAGTCAAAGACGAAGAAGTCACTTTAACACTGATGGTAGAGTTGAATCAAGTAGAAACGAAAGAGATAGAATGACAGTTACCGAAAAACCGATTAGCGATTGCCGGTTGCCTCAGTGACATGTTTGACATAACCATTTTCAGGAACCGTATTCCGTGTGTTTGAGTTGGAAACGGAATGCACCCTATCGGTCTCTATTTTTTTGGCAACTATTAAGAGAAGAACTAATCCGATCCTTTATGAAAACCCCTTTTAGGGCGGGTATATTATAAAACTATTTTGACAATTAACTAAAAGTTAAGTTCTGGAATGACGTCACATCTCATAGTCATTCAAGTTAACTTGTTATTTGTCAAAATAGTTTTATAGGGTAGAATCCAATCAAAATGGCGGACAATTCCAAGCCAAGGATAATACACACATTACTACTACAGGATAGCCTATCCCCTATCTTCATAAAGCCTGTGTGGAACAAATCTCAAACCCCCCACCACACCAAAGAAAGAGTGATGACGTCGGCAATGTGTCGTTTTGGGGCTTGACGTACGGTGTTTGCACCATATAGGTTAAGATTCCGCTAGCTTTTGCTTCATGCATAGTTGGTCTTAGTACAGGGTGTCCAAGATTCGATGGTTTTGGTAGGTTTCGGGTATTTCTGGAGGAGTTGGAAGAAATCTAACCCCCACTTGCGAGCCTCGATTTTTGAAAGAAGTTGACCGGTGAAACCCGCATCTCGATATCTCGATTCGTTTTTAAGCTACAAAAAGTTATAGACCCCCTGCCAAACTCCAAACTTTTCAAAAACCCTTCGTAGCATAAATACGACTCGACATATCGAGATGCGGTTTTCACCAGTCAATTTTTTTTGAAAATCGAGGCTCGCAACTGGGGATCAGGGGTGCGATTTTCGAAACCATTCGAGTACATTTCGTACACGAAATTTGACCCATCGAATCTTTGACACCCTGTACAATATACTATAACACTCTAAAAAACAACGCTTTTTAGGATCTCGTTTGTATCTTCCTCTTTGCTTTATGTTAATCAAAATTAAATAATATTTTCCATCATAAATTTATATTCTAAACTACGACCGCTGGCGCTAAAAGCTGACGACATAGTTGATGACGTAGTCAATGGTGCTACACAATATGGCCGCGATTCCCAAAAACGAGGCCGATAAGCAATCCTGTGTAGTAGTGTGTACAGTGGCTAAATAAACCTTTACATACAGTGGAGACAATAGAGGTCCCGACGCCATCTTGTTCCCAACCTCTTGTTACTTTTAAATATTGATATATAAGATTTAAATGGACATCTATCATAAAAAATTGAAATCGATATATTTGATGACCGTTATTAGGTCTATCAAATACGTTGTTTTCCCTGTTTTATGATGGATGTTCACCTAAATCTCATATATTCATATTTAAAAGGAATAAGAGGTTGGGAACAAGATGGCGGCGTTTTCAATATAAATATATGGGATTTCAGAACCAATCAAAAATAAGACAGCAATTGTTGCCACTGTGGGTAATAGGGTCACTGTAGTAGTGTGTATGTATTATCCTTGATGACAAGCAACAAGCAATGAAATTGGCGCCATAACTTTAATTCAAATAACCGCGACTTTTTTTTCATCAAAAAACTCGTGGTCTTTCAAGGTGTTTTTTTGAGGGTTGAAATGATAATTTTCGTATTTTAAGATGTTTTTATTTTGAGAAGTATTAGTGGAGAACCCGGATGATGGCAAAAGGTATGATTTCTTTTTGACGATCCTTTACTAAAGAATTAGGTAGGTACTATCCAGGATTTATTGTTTCCTGTTTATTCTTTTTTCTTAACCAAATCCTGAATCCTGATGATTATTTGTCTGCTATTTAAGGTATCAGCACACGTTGAGGATTTTAAATGGCTTGGATCCATACACCGTTTATGTAGAGAGACTTCTTGGTTTTTTAATACCTATGGATTTCGTCAGATTTTTTCTCTTTTGCTACAATCCATGAAGCCCTTACAAAGTACAGACAAATCGTTTTTCTTCGTTAAAAACCTGTGTTTTGTCTCTGCAGGAACGAGACTTTGTCGTAATACTGTAGGAATTTTTCAAAAAATCCGCACTTTACTACTTTACAGACTTTAGACGAATCAAAAATTGCAATAAAACGTATAGTGTATAAACAAACACACCTCTTACATAGTACAGACGCTTATTGGCTTTGGCCGCCATATTGAATTTTTTTTGACAGGTTGTTGGATTGTCTTTCACCAACCCTCCCTAGGGGTTTTAGATGCTGCAACTCTTGGAGTTGTCGCTGCAATAGTCTTTGCAAGATTTCTAGCAGTTTGGTTTTTGTGTTTAAAATGGTTGAATTACTTTCTTCTGCCAGCATAAAAACAATTTAAAAAAATATAGGAACACACAACCCTACTTTTCAATCGTTTTTTTCACTTTTGATACGTTTTCGCCGTTTTCTGCTAACATGAATGAGTTGAATTTGAAAATTTTATAAAAGGAAAGGGGCAATTGCTGCTGAAGATAGATTGGTACCTATACCTAAAAGGTGACTATTCTCAGTACATACCTACTTATAAAATAAATGATCTCTATCTGGTTTTACCCTGTCGTCCTTCTCTCATTAGGGTGCAATCTGCCGTATAAAAACGCATTCTATGATCATATTGGTTGGTAATTTTTTAAATGCAACTTTAACGCCTATTATAGTTACCAATTATTCTTCGGTGAGTTATACAGTTTCCTGCTGTATTAAAGCCCATCTTTTACCTGTGTTCCAACAAATTTGGTGTAGGCGTATCGTTTAAAGGGGGTGTGACCCAAAAAAGTTTGAGTGCAAAAAAATCTAAGAACAAATATTTATACCGCATGCTACCATGAACCGTTTTCGAGTTAGGGCGGTTTAAAGTGACAAACGCCTAGGCTGTGACGTCACACCGGCTTCGGAGCACACTGGTTGAAGCACGAGTAAAATTTTCCATAACAAAAGTCAACGATTTCACTAGAGCGAATTGCAACCACTTGAAGAATAGGGCACGGTTCACTGACGACTGAACGAACATAGGGCTACGATTTCGGCGATTAGCCGGTGTAACGTCACAAGTTCCCGCAAAATTTATACGCATAAGGGATTTCCTCGAATACTATTTTGAATATAAGACTGCGGTTTTCACGAGAAATCTTAGATTTTTTTTCTTGATTTAAGTAGCTTAAGTTGTTTTTTTGGGTCACACCCCTTTAATGTTTATCAAACTTTTTCGTGTCAAGTCCAGTCGAGTCATATCAGGGAATCGAGGTGGCCATTCTGATGCGCCGCATCTCTCAATTAGCCTCCCTGGGAAGTGAATGTGTAGAAACTGCCCTGGGCTTCCCTCGAATAGGGATTCGGAGCACTATCCCGGTACGAGCCGTTTTACACGGCAAAGTTTCTTTACGAAATTATTCACGAAATTATTGCCGAAATATTTCGTAAGTTTACTATTCTTGGTTTCGCTTTTTCCTGTTTGACACGGCAAATGAAATTTAGCAAAAGTTTCGTGGAAAAATTAGTCATACGCAGGCGCATTTACGTTTTGCCATCAATAATATTAAATCATAACCTCATATCACATCTTGGTAAACCAAAACAAAACAAATAAAACTTTCGTTTTCTAATTGTTGTTGAATCTTTTTACTCTTCTGCAGTTTTATTAAGTTGAATTTCTGTGTTCCTTCCATAATTAAAGTTTTGTTTACCTTTGGCTTTGACCAGCTGGTACTCTCCCTCCCATCCTATGTTTTTGGGCGGAACACATTTTTTCCACCGATACGCAGTCTATCTTTTACATAGGAAATTCATTGACAGATTCATAAAGTCCGATGGAAAAGAAAGCCCCGTTTATTTTGTAATTGTGTGCGCCGAAACTCACGCATTTTCTCGGCCGCGCCCACAAAAACTATAGAACATTGTCGAAAGTTTATTGGCGAAATATTTCGTAAGTTTTTCTTGTCGTGTAAAACAGGAAAAGTTGACTTACGAAATATTTCGGCAACAATTTCGTGAGTAATTTCGTAAAGAAACTTTGCCGTGTAAAACGGCTCCCAGATTTCACCTACATTTCTATTCTTTTAAATGGCGCGAACTACACAGTGTCTAAGGAGCTCGAAATACTTTTGCCCTGTAAATTGTACCTTCTATGAAAAAAGCTCCGATAATTGTGCGCAAAATAAAAATTTTGGTTGATTTCGGCGAACTCATCACGTTTTCCAAAACTTTGGTGACTATTGACTATAGGCACTTCAATTAACTACAATGATTTGATTATTCAAATGAAAGTTAAATAATTTTTATGCCCTATTCGGTTAGTTTCTCTTCACAAAGCAAAGGATATCAATAAAAAATATATTTACGATTTCCAGCTCCTGGAGGTTATAATGGATTTGGCCACCAGCAACCAAGTGGTTATGGAGGCTATGGGGGACATGGAGGTGGTTATGGAGGCTATGGAGGACATGGAGGTGGATATGGAGGCGGATATCATCCACAGCAATCTATGGGAGGATATAATCCCGGTTATGGAGGTATGGCCATGGGAGGATATGGCGGTAAGTGCCTAGATTTTCTTCCGATACAAAAAGACCCATGACTCTTTCACATAGGTGGCTTCGGAGGTGGCGGCTTCGGAGGTGGAGGCTTTGGATCTCCATCATTTGGAGGCGGTGCTTATCCCATGCAAAAGAAGAGTTTCTTCAGTGCTAGTACCATTGGCAGTGTTGTTGCTGGGATGTTAGTTTACAAGTAAAATGAAGTTGAAAAATGATAGAATTTAGTATATTAATATAATATTTTCAGCATGGCTTCAAGTCTTATCAGTCATGGTTTGGGGCAAAAACGACCCTACAATGTTGTTAACTATTATAATCAAGAACCTGGTAAACCAGCGGAAGAAATAAAATTGCCGGCAAATGTGCTAACCCTATGCGATGCCAATGTAAACCAAATGTGTGGCCAAGGAACTCAATCTGTAAGTTTCAAGTTGTTGAAACAAATTATTGAGGCATATTTCAAAATTGTTTTAAAGGTCATTATCATTTGGCCACACTATCCGACTTTGATGAAGATCATTTAATGGCTTAGGCCTGTATGATGAATTGTGATTAGTATCCGCCATAGTATACCTTTAAATTCCATAAGCAGAATTGAGTTATGATGAGTGCCACATGTCAAAAATACTGTGAATTTCTTCAGAGAAATGTTTGCTTATGGTTCAATGCCGCAAACTTGACCAACCCCTCACTAAGTAGGTACCTACTTCGTGTTGACTCTTGATGTTCCAATGCAGCCAATTTAAACTCGCAGGCTTTTTTCAAACAAATCAGTACAATTTACTATTCCGCACGATTCTGCGCAAAACCTAAAATAATGTGTGCGTAGAATCATAAACTCGTATAGGTACCCATATACCGAGTGGTTCCGAAACCGTTCAGGAACTTCCTCTACTAGATTTTTATGTCTGTTTAATAGCTTGTCGACTTTCAAAGGACCAAACTCATTCAGACACAAAGTGGAAAAACTACCACGCGCTTGATTCACAGAAAGAGAATGCAACATTCTTTTACCAAATTTAGAGTCTTGTCTGTCTCAGTTCGCATGAGTGACAAAGAGACTAGAGAGGAAGGTCATTTTCATGAAAAAGCTGCTTCTTCATGTTGAGAATCAGTAGTAAAAAATGAAGTAGAATAAATATGCTCGAGTAGTTCAAGAATTGTACTCATTGATAATAAATATATTTTGGAATAAATAAATTTACATATAATTTAATTTGTAGATACCTATTAAAATTTTTGCAGGTCTGTACTCAAAACGGCACAGTCCTCTGCGTAGCTACCATGAACCAAGCAACCCCATGTGACCAAGGTGGTAACTCAGCCCTATGCATTAACACGACAGTACCTTGCGCAGACGCTAATGATCCATTGTGTCAAAACTCTACACAAAAAGATAAGCTCCAAGCTGAAGTTAACGTGCCTTGTTTCACCAACTTAACATTGGACGTAAATCTAGTAGATAAAGACAAAACTATGCCAAATACCAAATATACGTACTGTGTGACCACAATGGCTGTCGCAGGTCCTGATTATAAGTTGTGTGAAGAACTAAAACATTCGAATGATTATAGGAGCGTTTTGAATGGGAACCATGAATGGCTTTTGGAAACTGATGGCTTCAAACGCAACTACTCCATTTATAACTTTGAAAAGCCTATGGAAAGTAATGGGGAAATAAATATGCCAGTTACAGTGCTAGTAAAATGTACTGACCAAGCGAAAAATCTGTGCCCACCAGGAGCAATAGCAACGTGTACATCTTTTAATGAAGTCATGTGCATGGCCTCTACTAAGGATGTCCAAGAATGTCCAGAAAAAAATACCACATGCTTGAAGAGCTCCATACCATGCCCAGAAGAAAGCAAAGACAGCTTTTGCCAATCCAAAACCGAAGGGGCTGACAAAATTGATTTAGATATTCCATGTTTCGCTAATGTAACCTTCAACGCTCCATTCCCTAAATTCGAATTGGCTGAATTCAATGGCACCCTTCCAGATTTGACAGCAACGTCGAGTTACACCTATAATTTCCATTATTGCGTGATGACGCTAGCTTTGCCTGGATCCGATTTTGATTTGTGTATCACCAAAGAAGCCAAAGAGAAGCAGGAAAAGGGGCAAGCATGAGTAATATAAATAATTTTGTTTCTGTGTATATTATTGTTTATATATTTAGATTAGATTTCGATATTTTAGCAAGAATGATAATTAGGTGTCTTATTTTTGGATGCGTACCTACGTTTTAAATATACTGCTCCACAGGAGTTAAGGATATAGATGCTTTCTGTGAAAAAAGCATATATTATGTATTAGGTACATTGCATTATTACCAAATACCGAAGCCAATTTTTTTTTCACTTTTTTCTTCTACGCTTTTCAAAAAAAAATGTTAATTTATTTTACTAAAGTTTATACATTTTTACGCAAAAAATATATGTATTATGTATACTTTGTTGTTTTTACAAAGAAAGCTTCAATTTTTAACTCTTATGGATGGAGCAGTTTATATTTCACTAAATATACTTATATGTACAAATATTTTTGAAAGATCCTTTTTTTCCCCCTTTGGACGTTTACATTAAGTATCTAGAAACTAATTTCCCAATCAAATAGCGTCAATGTTTATGTTTATCACTATTATTGGACGTATACGCCCAAAACGGGCTTCGGGGACTCCTCCAGCTTTTTTATTTTTCAAATTTTATTAGAAAGAGGACCTTCATATAGTAATTAAACAAAACAAAAACTGACAGGTACCTACTATGGTGACGCCTATGATTTACAATTACTTTATGGCCCTAATCCTTGATTTGTGCTATTGGGGCCTATGGGATAAACAGTCTATAAAAGTTACATAAGACCAAAAATTGAATATATTTTGACAGTATGGAACCCATATTATATCAAAGATATTGAATTTCTTGAGAAAATACAACGTAGATTAACAAAAATCCCTAGCGAATTAAAGGACGTACCATAGCCAGAAAGACTAACCAAGTTTAATTTGACCACACTCAGAGAACGAAGGCATAGAGGCGATTTAATCAAGACTTACAAGATCACTGGCGGCTATTACCAGTGTCAGGTGACAGATCCAAGGATACACTTAAGACACTATTGAAAAAGAAAGGTCGGCAGAACTTCCCAGCAAAAACTTTATTGTGAACCGTGTGGTGCACTCTTGGAACTCGTTGCACCAGGAAACTGTTTCAGCCCTGAACACGAATATTTTCAAAAATCGCATTGATGTAGAGCTGAAACAGAATTCAGAAAGGATGATCCACTACAGTGTGTAAACAAATTCAGTATAACCTGAAAATCTAAAGAAGAAACAATAGCTTCATCGGTTGTACCGCCTGCTATTGTCAACATAATAATAATAATAATAATAATAATAATAATAATAATAATAATCTATCACGATTATCACTCTCAGTATTCACATAGGTATTTTCACAATGTCGTATAACTTGAATTCACTTAATATCGGTTCCCAGTAGCCGAATAGGCGAATATTCGTCATTCGCACGAATTTTGCCTGGTCTCCCACACCACGTGGTGCAATGGCGAAGGTTTGGCTTGACAATTGTTCAGCAAAGTTTCCAAGCAGAGGGCCGTCGATTTTCAGTGCTGTTTTATGCATGACTTTTGTTTAGTTCAAATAGACAGTGATGAAGAGCGAATTGTTGCCGACGCCGCTACTTGTGTCATTTTCAGCAGATCCTGTATCTTTGGGTTCCAAATGACAGGTTCATTTTCAAATAATTGTAAAAAAATTCTAACGTTAATTCATTGATCCACTCCATTTCTTATTTTAATTAAAAATGACTTAAAATGCAAAAATCAACCTTGCGGCACTGCACACCGCTATAAGCTGACGAAACACTATGCATATACCTTCCCCCTTTTTAATTCCGAAGCGTCTGGGAGCAGTGCGAAGTCACACATAGTGGACTTCGCTTGGGACTTCGCATCTATTTCGCCTTCCTTTGCTTTCTGCCAGTTTACCGAAAATTGGCGGGAAAATGACGAATGACGAATATTCACCAAAGTTACCTTCCCGCACACGCTACGCGAATAAGTCCGAACACCGAATTTCGCCGATTATTCCACTCATGTGTTAGAAATCCCATAAGACAAGTGACGATTTTCAGAATAACAGCGAAAATTCTCTTTTCCATTTGTTTAACTAGAGAGAATTACAGCGATAATTCTCCCATGTTATTGTATACATGGTTGACATGCTAATTTTTGATACAAACAAACCGTTCCTGATAGCAACCATTTATTTGTATTGATTGTTAAGATGTTCAAATCGTTTAATACATATTTATTTCCATATTTTTTGCATTCTCATACGTGAAATAATCCTCTAAATACCACTTGAGCTTTAAAATGAACCAGATAATTTTTCACTCGTGCGTGTTTTCTCTGCAAATTTCACTCGTCCTACGGACTCGTGAAATTATAGAAAACACGCAATCGTGAAAAATTATCGGTAATTTTGAAGCTCTCGTGGTATTATCCCCGAAAACACGTAGCGTCTGTGACCGGCTTGAGTGTAGCTTTGAATGTGACTTTTGTTTCTAGAAGATTCACCTTCAAAGCTCCACTTAGAATAAATATCTTCTAAGTAATAGCGATGCAAATAGCCGGAAGTCGCGTTCCAATCTTCTACTGATTTTAGAGTCTCTGGGATACTTTTGGGCTCCCTGAACCATAGGCCATGCATATTTTAGTAGGTATATGTTTCAATAGGTAGGTTCCCTATTATATTATATAGGTACAGTGAGGACATAAAGTCCGTAGCCCCGGCCCCCTCTAACTTTTGAACCGCTCGGTATATTACAGGGAAATATGGAATGATGATATGTGAACAAATTCTCCATTGTTTGAAAAACGAAGTATTGCAAAATGGATCGTCGATTGATTCGGCAAATGCTCGGTGATTTTGGAGGGGGATCCAATTTTTCCTTCGAGTTTGAATCTGATGACAATAAATCACTGTATGAAGTTTCTGGGGTCCCAAATCACCATCGTTTTTGTAAACTCTGAAAATTTCACCTCATTCACATTTATAGTTCCTCCTTCCAGAGATAAAATCGGTTTAAGGAATAGAAGGAACTTTTTAATTTTTCAATATTTCATATTTCTGCCTGTCTTTTTTCAAACATTTCTACTCCAAATCTCACAATAATTCACACTATTTAGTTAGGTAATGATCATTTAAAGAGAATGTGACGAAACTAGCTATTGCCCCTTTTTGGGCTTTAGTCAAACCGCACTAGGGATGCCAAAAGTTTTTACTTTGACTGACTTTAAAAATTAACCACTAGGTATTGGATCATTTAAGCCTTGTATTGGGTTAGGGGTGCCTTGATTCTCATTTTATACAAATAAAACGCTGAAATAGAATAATTATCAATTTAATTAATAATTGAAAGTAATTCGCGTATAGATCAATCAAATCCTATCTAAAAATTCCTAATTGGAAGTCCAGTCGAACTACAAATTTTATACTAATCTAAAGTAAGTATCTTGATTAATAAACAGTAGGAAAATCTGATAATGATGTAATAATATCATGAATGATTAAATGTTAAATGAACGAAAACACAAATTAACTAATTGAATGCACGAGTGCACAACATAAATAATTCGTCAACTTTAATCAGTTCACTGTAATCACAAAATGTTTATTGATTCTTGAAAGTTCCTTTATTTATTGAGAGTTAACAATTTGAGCACTTTTCTGCGGAAGTCTGTAAACAATATGTGCAAGAAAAGTCTTTATATATGCTCAGTTTCTATATACAAATGTGCAAATGTTAATTTCACGAGTGTGAAACCAAATTTCTGCATAAAACGTTAGAAGATAGTGTATTTCAAGCGAATCACTAATCTGTATTTATTGTTCGACTGTTAGAGAAATTGTAACGGTCTTACTTGCTCAATCCGGTTCATGCAGATAAATCCACGAGGCGATTATTTATCCATTTATCACTATTAGCACTGGCAGCTAGGGCATTTTCCACTGAGATGAAAAACAACGATATGCAGGCGCGTTGGAGCCGGGCGAGAGTGAGAGAGAGAGCCAAAAACAGGCGCTTACGAGAGAATTTTGCTCGTCCGTGGTGACTTGCAATAATTAGGGGTTAATTACATTAATTGTAATCAATAATATAGACCATGTCAGGCCTTGAGCCACAGAGAGTAGTATTTTACTATAAATCGCGCCTACTAACGAGGGTTTTGGGGGTTTTGCCTCTGGGGAGCATCAGAGGGCGTGAAGGCGCGAACTCATCGCTTATTCTAATATGTAGGGGGAGCTTGTGAAAGGGGTCTAATAATCCGGGGCTTCTCCCAAAATAAAGCACGTTACTTAAATGGAACGAAGGATATATTCGCAGTAAAATTAACTTGATAAAAATATGACATAAAATAATGAAATCAATCATTATTGAAGACCAGCACCAGCACTTCTGAAAATTCTAGAAGGCATCAGGTACAGGTAATCGTTAACAAGTCCAATATCTTGAAGCCGTGCCGCACACTAATAAAATTACTACAGATCGGCCATTCCTGACACTTGGCCGTCCACGGACAAAACATAAAATAACACCATTTCATAATAGCATAAGACATAACAACATAATGAACCACAATAAACCTAAAAATTCTTAAAAGTTTCAGAGTGATCATAAATGTTTCATAAGTTCATAATTTCATAAAATCTAAATCTGTTCACACATTATTCATAAACATAATGACATAAGACATAAGTACCTATATAAAGTAAAGATGAATCATAATTCATAAATTCCATAAAATTACATAGGTACTATGTATCTCATAAATCAAAATTGGATTTCCTTCTTTTTCATACTTGCTGAACTACATTAGCTGACTTTGAAGCCCTTGCTGGACAATCTGTATATCGGTGGCCCATCTGACCACAAGAAAAGCAGGAACCTCTTTCCCTTTTTGGCTTTGTACACTGAGCTGCCATATGTCCCACATCGTTACAGTTGAAGCATCGATTATTATTGGTGGTGGGTGTGGAACGCCTTCCTGATTGAGAGTCACGGGGCGCATTTTTGAAAATGATCAAGTTAAATTGTCTTTAACTGAGCGGTCACTCACAGTAACATTAGTCATGACTCGCAATAGTTCTTGAAGTGACACAAAACTCTGCATTCTTGCTTGGGACTGTAGGATAGGATGGTCAAATCCGTCAATCATATAGTCAATCAAATCGGAGTCACTAAGTCCAATTATATTTCCAGGGCGTACTTTATCGTGGAAATACACTGAAAATAGCTCATTGTTCTTCCATCTTCTGGACCTAAAGTTGTCCATTAGTAGGACTTTATCAGGTCTTGATCCAAACATATTAATCATCTCTGTCTGCAGATCCTTCCATTCCATTGTGACATATAACGTTTTAGACAGGAACCAATCTCTAGCTTGCCCCATAAGCTTGCCAATAGCAATAAGCTGCATAACCTGGTCAGGTACTTGGTATACTGCCTGAACTGCATCTAAACGCTGTACGTACCAAGTCTCAATATCTTGCCCTGACCCACTGAAATTAGGCAGAAGAGCTGCTATCTCTTCATTCTTAAACCTACGTTGGGGGGGCTCAGGATTAACAACTAGGGGTTGTCTATTCAGGATTCAATTGCTCGTGCAACATAACACTTCTTACCGTAGTTTGAACAATATCTTCCACTGTTAGCTAAGATAGCTGAGGTGGAGATCCATCACCTGCACCCGTCTGATTCAGATCTTCCATAGACATTGTCGGGCTGTTATAGGACTTATCCCACTTCTGATATTGTAGGGGGGCTTGTGAAAGGGGTCAAATAATCCGGGGCTTCTCCCAAAATAAAGCACGTTACTTAAATGGAACGAAGGATATATTCGCAGTAGAATTAACTTGATAAAAATATAACATAAAATAATGACATCAATCATTATTGAAGGCCAGCACCAGCACTTCTGAAAATTCTAGAGGGCATCAGGTACAGGTAATCGTTAACAAGTCCAATATCTTGAAGCCGTGGCGCACACTAATAAAAGTACTGAAGAATGTGCGTCGACTAGCTCTGCCAAGAAGCAGGTCGCAAAAACTAGAAAATAATATGGCGGCTGACCAATCACAGCGGCGAGAACGGTTCACTACCTTATAAGGTAATGAAGAAACCTGCAATTTATCTGTTGTGGGTTATTTCCGCAACAGGGAAAGTCTTCACATAAAAAAATTTGAAGTTTTATCGTTTTTGTACCTACTAAGGGATTTTGTTTAAAATCATATGTTCAATTCTATCATAGATTGAAACCTGAAATGGAATCTTATTCTATCAAGGCCGTTTGCACCGACTGTTTTGAGGAGGTTTAACGATAAACAACGCTTAAAATGACATTTTTGCATGTAGAAATGTCACTAAATTTTTATATGTAAAAATGTCACTTAACGATAATCAACGCTTTATTATCAAACGGCCATTAGTACGGTGTCACACTGTGTGTTTTTGACACTGCGGCAAGAAGGAATGCGTTTTGAAAGGATGAACTCTACTTGTCGCACTATCCTATCGGGATGCTTTGCCTCCAGTCGAATTTTGGTAATGGTAGTATCGTGGCGGATTCATTAAAGTCTGCTCTAGAAGTCTAGAAGCGGAGGGTTTATTAAGAAACGGAGGTGGATCGTCAATATTGGATTCACCCTTTCAATTTGGAACGAGAGTCTAGTGAAAGGTCTGCAAAGTTCTACGACAAAATTCGAATGTACGACGTGTATTCATTCGACCTTTTCTCCTATAATGCTTGTTTATCGTGGACGCTCTCATTGAATAGATCCACGTCAACCATGATGAAATTTAATGAAAAACAAACAGCAAACCACAAACTCAAAAATTTCTGAAGAACCGCTGCGTTCGGACCGTCAGGTATGACTATATACAAACATACAAGTGCACGTGTTTTCGTTTTATTGCGGTCGTCTGGTCGTGCGGTGCCGCCGCAACATGATACGTTTGCATCCGGTTTGGGTGCGGTACAACGCTGTATGTGACAGCTCTCATTCAATACAATGGGTTTACACCATCCCGGCAAACCGGAGCGTTCTTGCCGCAGCGGTGAAAACGCAATAGCTATTTTCGGGTTCGAAAAAAGAACGGTTCTAGAACGGTTCAAAACAATCGCACAGTTCATCAATCAACAAAATGACAACGGCTCAGCTATTACAAATTTCAATAATAAACTGTGCGATTGTTTTGAACCGTTCTAGAACCGTCCTTTTTTCGAACCCGAAAATAGCTTATGTTTGACACCACACTGAGTAGAGAGGCCATTAAGTACAAAACCTGAAAACTTTAGCTCATTTGAACAAATAATGTATTATTGAAGAATGTATAGACAATATGCTCACATTTTCTGGATCTGTTTGAGATAATAGATTTTCTAGGTAAAGGTGGCTACAGACGGTGTGCCAACATCAGCCAACGTTGGGACCAACGTTGAGGCCAACAATCGGATATTCGTCATCATTCGCAAATTGAAAGCATTCACACGACGTGCCAGCGTTGGCGAATGTTGGTTATGTGTGAAAAATAGTGAACTTGTACCAGCATTGGCTCAATGCCGGTACAAGATGGATTCCGATGAGCTGGAAGTTGTGATTTCGGCTGCATCAACGTTGCTATTATCCACAAGTGCACTGCTAGACATCATAAAAACCCAAAAGTTAACTAATCCCACAACTATGGTCCTACTTTCGCAAAAACATACAAACAAATGTGCACGCTCGTGTGTATGGAGAAAATGGCATTGGCCAATATATGCCAGTCGAGACCTGATCCCTTTGATGTGCGCCAGAAATACCGCCTCCGAGGCGAACGTCGGCCAGCGCCAACGTTGGACGGAGTTCGTAGCACGTTTTCTATACACACGATCCGATAATGTTCACAAATGCGGAAGTTGGCGTATGTTTGCCATGTCGTCTGTAGGCCGCTTAAGTTAGTAGCAAGGATGATACACACTACCACTACAGGATGATGGCCTATCCGCATAAGGCCTGTGTATAACAAATCCCCCTCCCCCTCTCATGCCAAATCACCAGTTGTGACGTAGGCATCATGTTATTTCTCGCCTTGGCGTAGGCTGTTTAAGTTTAAACCAATGAAAATTCATTAAACAGCTGACGACTTAAGCGTACTTTTCATGCAATGGCGCCAAAATATTGGACCAATAGGAATACGTCCGGACTATCGGATTGACCGAAAAACGGATTCATGAAAAGTAGCCTTACTTAAGCCTAGTACTCATAACTGCAAAATTCGCACTTTTTTGACATTGCTTCGATAATTTGACGTTTGATTCACGCATAAAACGTCAATTTGTCGGAGCAATGTCAAAAAAGTGCGAATTTCGCAGTTATGAGTACTAGGCTTTATGTCGTCGGAAATAGTGACACACCAATATGGCGGCGATTACCAGTAACGAGGCCGATAAGCAATCCTGTAGGTATGTATCATCCTTGAGTTAGTAGTACATTTTTAGCTTTCTAGAGCTCAGGCATAGAAAAACTTTTTTGCCGGTACTTCAAACAGTTTAAACCTTATAAGCTTCAAACCTACTTTCGCCGTTCGCTAACCTCCACCGATAATCATGTTTTCGAACACTCTCCAATCTTTCACTTTCCAAATAATCCAAATGTCAAAGTGCCAACACTAATGTCACTTTCAGCATCAGCGCATCAGCTGATTGGAATGTTTTGTGTTTAGCAACAACAATTTTTTTTTTCTTTTCCAGATTTTCAAAAATGTAATCGATGATTCTAGTTGAAAACGATTAACTCTAATAACAAAGAAACAAGGCAATTAAAATGTCAGTTTCTATTCCGTTGCCATCCAATGAAAAAATGTTTTTTGTGAGTTTCGGCGTTTTGAGTTCTGTTTTAGTTATCAATTCTGCAATCTCCATTTTGCCCATCAGTGGACTAACATTCCTGTTTATTGCGATATTCATATGGTTTTTTTTGCTGTGCATCACTTTCGTGGGCTTGCACAAGCTGCTTCAACGCAATGAACCAGTTTCGAGATCAATTCTTAACAAATACCTCCAGTATTTGGGGTTTTCGTTAGCATCTACCCAAAAAGAGAGGAAAGCCCCAAAAATCAATCCTGTGAGCATCGAGCGACTAACCTCAGACATAGATAAGTATTTTATATGCAAGTGGTATTCTTGTATAAGTGAAGATGCAGATTTTTCTGTAGAAAGTAAAGCATTTCTACAAGAAACTTTGACAAGACTAGCTGATGTCGTAGTGCAAGTAAACCATACTTGTTTGCTTCATGGGATGCTAAATTTATTTTTGAAACACTTAAAGGAATTTAGGAGAAGTTTAAAGAGGAAGGAGAAATATAATGTGGGAATTGAAGAGCTATACAGGTTGCATATTTTTATGAATTACTTATCTACCTATATTTTATTTGTTCAATTTATAGGTATTCCCATATATGCAGTATATCAAGTAACAAAAATTCAAAAGAATATTTTGTACATCAGCTGACAACTAGAATACTACAACATTTCATCAATTCTGAGCTTTGGAATTCATTACCATGCCATGTCTTGGTATCTATACTTGCCAGAAAACTCATAAGCTACTTATTAACTCTTTTATCAAATCCAGAAATTTTAAACTATATTATATTGAACACTTTAGCTTCTGAAGTTGTTAAAGACAAATTAAAATTGAGTCAGTATGGTCGAATATCGATAGTGGAATTTTTTGATGTGATAGATACTTCTGCAAACAAAGGTGATAAAATTTTTCTAACAAAGGCCTCAACAAAGGACGACATTGCTATAAAAGCTGAAGAATTACAACACAAAGTTGAAGAAGCATCCAAACAATACAAAGAAATAAATGGTACTAAAACTAGTAAAGAAAAGACTCGAGAAAATATTAACAAAGACGGAGTAAAGCTGAGACATAGGGGAAAAAGTGACACTGTGGACAGAAAAAATCCACCTGAAAAGTCTCCAAAACAAAGTGATTCTGTAAAAATCTATGAGCCGAAAAGCAGTGGGAAAACTTGGAGAGATTCTAGGGATTTAGCCTGTGTTTCTTTAGGTCAAGATCCCCTGGATGCTTTAATCGATGGAGGAAAAAGTAGCTCAAAGCTGGGATTCTGGGAAAGCAGTAAATATGTTTGATATATGATCAGTGTATTTTATTATGGAAATCAATAAATTTAGCAAGACTTTTAAAATAAAATAGCTATATACTCGAAATTATTAAGGACAATTCCAATGTTTGGTCTATTATTTGACACATAGACTGAAGTTGTCGCTATTGAGTGAATAAAAAAGTTAGGTACAAGGAAGCTTTTTCTCAACAATACTTGCCTTTTTGAGATTGTCAGTGGATGTTACAAAGAATGGATTGAACTCCATTAAAAATAATAAAACAATTTAGGGCTTTACAATGGCCCAATATAATTAGGTTCTGCGTTATGAGATAATTCATGCTCACAACTAATAATTTCCATATTAAAATATGCTCATTACTAGGAAATTACTCGTTTATTTTGAAACACCCCTTTTTATTAAAATTTTCTGTTTCTGTTCCTATTTTTTTGTGGGTAGAGAATTTGATTTCATATTCTTATAGGCCAAAATAATCTTTTCAAAAATCTGTTTTAGCAAAAGATAATGACTCGCCGCCAAGTGCATCCCATTTATTCAACGAAGTGATTCATATGACTTCAATGGAAGGCTTAAAGACTTCTATGAAACCATTAAGTAATTTAATTTCTATTAACATATTTTGCAAAAACTTATACCTAATTATTCGTTTGTAGGTGATGTAACTGAACGTACTCTACACAACATCAAAGACCTACAAGAGGCGACAGTGCATAATGCTCTACACAAAATTGGTGACTTCCAGGTAACTGATAGTAGTGATAAAATTCAAGATCCTCTCACTTATTTACACTATGTACCACCAAACACTCTTCTGCATTCTTCTGTTCTGTCAAACACTCAACGTCTTCTCTATGCTCAACCTGAGGTATGTGTGTTGTATCTTTTTTTTTTATGATTTTAATTCTTTTACAATATTGCTTTTTAGGTTGCTTTTTTGCTTGGAATTCGTAGCTCAATAAAAAATTGGCAATGCTAGCTAATGCCCTTTTTTTCTCTATTTTCACTTTGTTCTAACACTTAAAGATACTGGTAGAACTAGAAGTTATATACTTATAAATAATAGAATAATAGATAAGCTCATGCTTAGCAACCCATTACCAAGTTAAAAATATATTTGGGAGGCTCGAATCGTACATTGTACGATTATTACGCATTTTTGAACAAAGTCTTTATAATTTATAAATAGTGAGATAAACTAGATATTGAGAAAAAACTGTTTAAAGAAATAACTGGTGATAAGCTGATTTTTTGTGTGCCTTGACGTTTTAAACAAAATCTAGTATCCTATCTAATATTAGTGATCAAATTCAAGATCCTCCTACTCGTTTACACTTTTTACTACTCTTCTGCATTTTTCTGTTCTGTCAAAAACTCAATATCTTCTCTATGCTAAAATTATGTGCCAAATCTCAAGGTTCACTCCTTATTATGATAATAATAATAACTCCTTATTACTCTGTATGAACAAAAAATAAAGATTTTTAATTTTTTTTGTACAGGGTGTTTCCTCATATTTTGACTCCTACCTACAGCTTTAGCTATATGAGGTGGAAAAAAACTTTAAACATGAAAGTTGTTTGGTTTTATCGGTAGTATATTTTGGCGCTTGTAAAACAAACAAATTCTAATCGCAAAATTATAATAAAAGACCAAATCATTTTTTTTAAATGGAACACCCTGTGGATTTTTAGCTCTAATGAAAGTTCTTTTTTTCCTGTTTCCAAATCTACCATGGTTCAGCTGTTTTTACGCTATTTATGTTAAAAATGCATTTACATTACCCTAAAGTAGATCTGTTCACGGTTCCTTATATGAATGATGAAGCTTACTTAATGCAATTTTGAATTCAAATAGCACAAAAACAACTGAACCAAATATCAACATATATGGCATATTTGGAAACAGGAGAAAAAGAACTTTCATTGGAGTTAAAAATATACATGGTGTTCCGTTTCAAAAAAATGATTTGGTCTTTTATTATAATTTTGCGATTTGAATTTGTTTGTTTTAGACGCGCCAAAATATACTACCGATAAAACCGTACAACTCTCATACTTAAAGTTTTTTTCCACCTATAGCTAAAGCTGTAGGTAAGGGTCAAAATATGAAGAAACACCCTGTACAATAAAACATTTCAGAACTATAGGCAGCTCAAGCAGTAGGTATATACATAATATGAAATGAGATATTTCCTCGGATATTTCATTCAATTACTGCTATGAAAAGTAACAATATTATAAATTATATTGTTAGGTAGGCACCCTTATAAGGATTTCTCATTTTTATTGATCTAACCTTTTGGAAAACCATAGAAACATTACATAAGTTAAGCTGAAAAAATCCTTTTTAAATTTCCCTTACTAACAATACTACCTATGACTTCTTTTGTACAACAAATCTTTTGTGTACCTACCTAGTTATCAGACAAAAAATTCTCGTCAGGCAAGTCATATTAATAATAATAAAAGTCTTTTATTAATAAATTCAAATTTAAATTACATTAATTATTATCGACAATAATTTGGACGAGATTGGGCACAACTACTCCGGAGGGAGGTTGTCTCTTCTTATCACACTTAACACAAACCTTCATGCTTAAATTTCTGAAAGGGTTCATTCATTAAGGTAGGGTTCATTGTACAAAAAAAAAAGTTCAATAAAGTTTTTGCAGTACATTTTATACAGGAAATTTTGATATTTTGTTTAGAACGTCAAAATCCAGTTACAAACTTCTTCCTAGTTGAAATTCAACTTTAGAATGGGAAAAAATCTCAATGTTTAAAATAATATTATTTTTATTGGCCCCAGCCTCTAATTTATTTTATCTTCTGAATATAATTTCCACTGCATTATATTCAATGATTGACTTTTTTTTTTCTTTGTTCTATAATCTTGTTCCGTTTTATTTTAGCCTTTCATTCACTATCTGCTTCGCTTTTATACAACTAACACACATACTGTAATTTAAGGGCAGGCATTTTTGCTGGAGTTTGGTGTAATTTGTGCTCCCTTTCAAAGCAAGTACCTACTAGATTAGAAAAATCTTGCTTCAAGGATTTATAAAGCTTTTTATATTCACTGATTATATAGTGAAAGGCAAATACTTTTAAGGCATGCACTTCTCATAAAATAAAATCAGCTCAATTATATTCTGTGGGGTTTTAGGATGAGGCAGCTGGAATGGTTGAAGGAATATTGGATTTTGGGAGAGCAGGGTTCCGAAAGGGTTTACGGTTAACAGGTAATTGAACGATGATGACATTTAAATTTGCATTATCACTAGTTATAGTATATTTTTTAATGTTTGAGATAATGCAAGATCTTTATTGTGAATATAAAAGGCGTTTTGTGGCTCACTGGGCGAGTGAATGCAGGTACACTTGCTTGCTACTTAGCTATTAAAAATTAGACTATCATTTTTAAGATAGATTTGAAATTTATTTATTTTCAGGACTTCAAGACAATATTGAAACAGCCAAAACAACTTTATCCAGTAATACTGCAACTGCTAAAACTGTGACAAAATCTATGCGCGAGCAAGTGAAGAAAAAATTAGAAGAACTAAAAAAATCTGATTCAGATTCTCAAGATAAATTGAGTTCGGCTGATAGCGCTGATTCTATATGGATTAATCCTATTCAAATAGACTCGCCAACTGCTGTTAGCCAAGTTTCAATGGTAAGTCAACTGAAAGAATAATAAGTTTTACAAGTAATTATGGCCCCTAAATAACAATTATCTAATTAATTAACAGTAAAAACCGTCTCCTAAAAATATGATAGCATAGTGATTTTTTCAAAATCAACTGAATGTTATACTACATTCTACAATAATATTACTCACTGGTGATAATTATTAGGTCAAGAACTTTTTGTTTCAAGTTCATATAGAACATTGGCTAGGGTTTTTTGGAGATGGCGGACCAATGTCAACGAACTTTCCACAGAAAGAAAAGGAAAATTATGATAAAACACACCTAGGATCTGCAGATGATCTCGTGAAGAATATATTTAGTCCTTTTCTAGAACTTGATTTTTTTTCTGATATCTCGTCGAATATCTCAGACCCTGCTAGAAAAGTCACATGCCTATCTTTGGATAAAGTGAATCGTTTTTGAGGTAGCTACCACTCGTCATTAGTGTACTTATACCTACCGTATAATATTAGCCAACTTAAGTATCCGCTACTAAAATATTTGAAAATATTCACACTCAAAAGACATTATATTTGTTTTGGAAATATTCAATCTACATTACACCAGTGTTTTATCACATAGTCAGATCCCTATTAATTTGGGTCAGATCCCAAAAAATTAGTTTGAGTGTGGATCAAAATCGTAGGGTTTTCGGCGTTCGAAAAAGTGGTTGTGGCACCGAACATTCTAGTATCAAGGCGAGACATTTAAATATTTGGTTCTGCTTGTTTTGTCGTAAAAATACTTAAAATGGTTTAGTTTATTCCACATGTTGACTTGTGTTACCCCTTTGTAGAAATTAATTATTATTGATGTTCTTATTAGGATAGACGGGTATAGTGTATTCCGCCAAGACAGAGAAAATCAAACTGGAGGTGGGGTGTGTTTTCTGGTTGATGAGTTAAATGGACACAAAGTATACTCTACAGTAATCAATTTAATACATTCGCCCCAATAAAGTCATTGTGGATTGATATAAAGGTCTGTAACATCTAATTTCTGGTCTCTTGTATGTACAGAACGGATTATTCCAGTAAGGAAAATGATAATATTATGATCGACTCAATTAAACATGCCTGTTCATTGGATATGCCCGTTTATATTATGGGGGATTTCAACTATTGGCGTATAGATTGGAAGAATCTTAATCTGTTCAACCCAGATAAACAACATCAACTTTTTTTGGACAACTACCTTGAAATTAGTGCTTACCAAATGGTTGATTTTCCAACACGTTTCCGAAGTGACCAAGTTTCTCTCCTTGATCTAGTCTTCACCAATGATAAGAAACTGCTATATAACTTGGAACTCGAGCCCCCCCATAGGATAGAGCGACCATGTCATCATCATTGGGAAAAGTCAACTAAAATGCGAACTGAGTCCAACGAAAACCATATTGAAACAGAACTTCTTCAGTGCCGACTATAAAAAATCAATAGTTTTCTGACTGAACAAAATTTTGCTGCATCGGGTGATGCGTTTCACATGTGCATGTCAATTTTAAACAATGCTATAGACAAGTTCATTCCGTTGAAACCATGTAAAACAAACCTACAGAAACCCTGGCTAAACCAGTTCATATTTAAACAAATAGAAAAGAAGCGTAGTCTATGGGACAAATAATACAAAAAATCAGCTACAGACGAAAAATATCGCGAACAAAACAACTACCTTACAAATGTAATTAGAAAGTCAAGAAAAGACTACGAATGCAACATTGCCCCTCAGAATTCAGATAAAAACATTTTTTAAGTATGTGAACGAAACACTATCATCCAAAGTTTCAACAATACCATTAAAGAATGAATCAGATGAACTTTTGACTGACGACTTTGATGTAGCGGAATGCTTTGCAAACCAATTTGAAAAGGTATTCACCAAAGGAAATCAAAACGAAATGCCACTAATTCCGGAATACCTACGTGCAACTTCACAGATGTCAAATATTGACTTATCTCCTGAAGCAATAAAATCGTCGAAGACAGATTCTAGCACAGGCTCTGTTAGAATTCCAGCAGTGTTCTTGTAAAATTGTGTAGCCATCCTGAGCCAACCCTTGTCTGATCTCATGAAAAGTATTTTTGAAGCTTACAACTTTCCTGAGACTTGGTCAACATCGTTTGTGATTGCAATATACAAAAAAGGAGACAAAACCGCTCCATGGAACTATCGTCCAATAAGTTTGACATTCAATCTATGCAAGTGTCTGAAAAAAATTGTAGTGAGACAGTTAACCCCATTTTTACTGGAGCAAAATCCATTACTGAAGCACCAACGGCTTTCTTCCAGGGCGTTCCAATCTCACACTATGCTTGGACGATTGGACAAGGGACTTTGGCAGTAACGAGCAAGTGGATGTGATATACCTCGATTTCGAGAAGGTGTGTTACAGCCGAGGCCACAGCTATCTCCTGCATAAATTACATCACTTTGACATTGCTGGGAGCTTACTACAATTTGTATAAAATTTTCTATCAAGTAAGAAAAACCTTGTGAAAAAGGCCTTTGTAGACGTGTGACACCATTATGAAACTGTATAAATCTTTTAGGCGTCCAAAACTAGAATACACCCACTCAGTTTGGAGTCCGTACCTCATAAAGGATATTGAGATACTAGAGCGTGTGCAGAGACGAGCAACAAAGATTCCAACATCACTCCTTGAGTCCTCAATGAAGATTACCTTATTCGACTATCCACTTTGGGACTCACCTGGATCGAGACATACAAGATTCTTCGAAATGGCTACTCCTGTAACATTGACATCTTCACCTTCAATGACAACCCCCATCTACGACTTACGAGGTCATACTTTGAAATTATGCAAGGAAAAATCCATCAAGCTTCCAAGAAGAAACTTCCTAGCAAATCGAATCGTCTACTCATAGAACAGCCTGTAAAATTTTGCAGTCACCGCGCATAGTTTGAATTCTTTCGAGAATAAGGTCGACACCGATGTGAGTGCATTATTCCAAGTGGATATTCATTATGGACAATAACTTATCAAAAACACGACAATAAACTCACAAGTAATCCAATAGTTTTATCAGTGTAAACTGTTTACTATTGTACCATAATAATAATAATAATAATAATTTTCCCCCAATAACCTTCGAACATTGCCAAGCTGTTCTTTCCCCGGAGTAGTTTGGAGCGAGCGGTGCTCAGACTTTTATTAACGTGAACTCGTAAAAAAAACTTGATGGGATGGGGACTCGGACGGGGAGGACAGTGAAATTATGTCAGTCCTATCGTTTGTGATACTGAAAAACAAAAAAACAGCCATACATTTTTTCATTACTTGACACACAACTTTTTTTTCAACTTTACTATAATAGTAGTAGTAAATTAGGAGTGGTGATAAATTTCCATTTTTTCCATGTTTCCATTGCCCAAATCATTGAGTTATTTGAATGAGCTCTCTTTTCAAATCCAGAGAAAAATTATTTGCTCGGGATGCTTCGAAATGTAATATCACGAACGGCTGTGAGATACTAGGTTTGCTTCAAAGTTAATAAGAAAAAGGTTGACTTGTGAAGGGCTTTTATTGAATTGTATTTGAATTTAAAAGCAACGCCATTTATGGATTATTCCTTGATTTAATTTGAATAAAGACAAGATTCCCACTGTTATTTCAAAGATATGTTTATTTTTTTTAGGATAAAATACCTTCCAAACCTGATATAGAACTCAACCAACTTCCTAGAGTAGAAGACTGCTTGATTCCGTCAATTTCCACTGAAGACGCATCTGGTACAAACAGTCCGGATCCAGAATACGAAGACACCGCTGACCTTGCTTCCAGCATTGCCAAATTAAGATCTTTGCTACAACAAAGATCTTCTGAGTCTAACTTGTCGACGCCAGCACTCAGTCCAATGCCTGACGAGTATGTTATCTTACAAAAGCAAATTGAATCTGAAAATACTTCAGACGTGGAAGCACTGGAAGTAGACGGCGTCATGCCAAGTTTTTATAAATTTTGTACTAAAACAGCATCAGGGGTATTTTCAAATACTCTGAACACTATTAAAACTGCCCTACCTGGAAATACCACAGAAAGCATTTATACGGTTGAACTGTGGAAATTTATTGCAGATCAGAAAGAATCTGATATTCTAGTAAGAATGAAAAAACTTCTATCTGAAAGAAAGGAATATTGTATATTGGATAAGGAAATTGACACTGGATATGATGCTTTGGATTCAGTGGATGTTTTTCAACAATCGCCAGTGTTGATTTCTAGTCTTCATTTTGAAGGTAGACAATAAATTTTCTTGTCATAGCAGTATGTATCAAAAATATGTATTTTTAGATGAACTGGATGATTTCGAAGGCAAAATTCCAATAACCAAAGTAGTTTTAGATTTATTTTGTGAATTGTTTGCCGACACAAACTCTCCTTTAGTACAAGAGCCAATGATTAAAGCTGTGTTACTCGTGTTTGGACAGACAATGGAGCAAAAAATAATTAGTTTAATAGCACAATTGGTGGAATATTTTGCTGAAAATTTGGTAACTATTCCTGAATCTACAAATTCTAATGTGCTTTCAATGGATATAGATGAATATATTAAAAGTATAGAGGATAGTACCTCAGGTGAGAAATTTCTTATGGAATATGTTTAACTCTGTAAGTGAAAGAGCTACTAAAGGTCTCGTATTTTTTATTTTGACATTTTGTTTATCAATAGACGAGGGGTAAACCACCTTGCAATTATAGTGTACAAGCATGTAGGATTCCACTGGGATTCCGTCGGTCGGATTCCAGTGGGATTTATCGATGAATTCCATTGAATTCCAGTAGAATTCTGTGAGATTTCAGTAGGATACCGTGGGATTCCAATAAGATTGCCTAGGATTTCAGTAGGATTCTGTGGGATTCCAGTATAATTTCGTGGGATTCTGGTGAACACATTTTTCAAGGTGGGTTACCCCTTGTCCATAGGGGACCTAATAACAAATTGGTGAAACAGAATTAGATATGTTTTGGACATTCACAAAAAATTCCACTTGGTGCTGAGAACTCAATATTTGCAGTGCTCTAGCTTCTTTTTTTAGTAGTGTACAAAACGTTTTGCAGTGGCGCAGTTACGTTTTCAATAAAACGCTCGCATTGTTTTGGTTTATCGAATTTCACTGCGTTTCTGTCAGTCACAAATATCTCTAACCGTTTGTTAGAGTTGTTGATAATAAATACTAATGGCGAATAAGGAAATGCAAGGAAATGGCCTTTATGAAACTTACATGTTTTCAGTAATCCCACCATAGACAACCACTACTGATAAAAGAAATGGTTTTACAAAGCTTCCAAGAAATTAATTTGTTAGTGGAAAATTGGTCAAAACACTTGCATTTTCCAAAAACTAAACCACCAATATGGTACATAAGCTCCGAATTGTAACTTGATATTGTGACTGACTGAAATGTCTTGCAACTAAATAAAGAACAATTAAATTATGAAAAGAACGATTTTTATAAAATAGTTTGGGGTAATTCAATAACAGAAACTTTTTCTTTCAGAAGCTTTAAAATATTTATTTGGCAAAACAAACTTCAGAGAAGCCCTAAGAATGTTAATTTCATTATTGCAAAAACAGAAAATCAACGAAGATTTGCTTTTACAAGGATTGGAACTTGTAGCTATGAAATTGATTGAAGAAAGTATCCTAATATCACCTCCTGCTTCGGCATGATAATTCTCAAGTATTGAAAATAATGTTTACTTAATGGTGCTTTAATTTGTTAAAAAAAAGGTATATATAACTTCAAAGGCTTTAAAAAATCCCTATCGCGGATATTTTTCTAAAACAAATTTATTTTGACAAACCTGTGCTACCTGACAATGGCAAAAGTTCAATAATAATTGTTGTACCAAAGATAAATAATATTTATTTAATGAGGGAAGTGATAAGTATTAAGGATTGTAAAGTATTTTTTATGGGCTTAGGATTTTTTCCCCAACCTATCTGGGTATAGGTTTTAATTTTAAATATTTGACCAAATGATTTTACTTGTGTTAACTATAGTTTAAGGTGCCATAATTCCATTTTTATAGTTTTTTTTAAAAAAATTGTTTTTATTGTGTTCTGTATTTATTCTGTGATGTATATTAATAGTATTTTATGTTTTTTGATCTTGCATTATTTTTTAACCAAAGGCTTCAGTGTATTTTACCTAATAAATATATGCTTACAGTTTCTTCTGGTTTTATTATTTTAAAATACCAATTAGTTGAAAATGTATGAATGATAGCAAATGATTCAGGCCGGTCTGACTTATGGAAATGGAAAACGGGCGTTTCAAAAACGCCTTAATACAAACCTTTTAAAAAAAGCTTTGAAGAAAGACGTTTTAGTCATTAGGCCAAGATTCAGTCTAGCACATCAAGTATGTATACTAGGCTTTCTGATTTCTGAAACACTGAAATTTTGCTTCCACCAATTTTATAAATTCTTGGCATATTAGGTATTAATTTTTTTTTACAAAGAAGTCTTTTAACACCAGGAGACAATAATTATAACAAAACAGTTTCAATATGAAGCCTATTTATTTATAGATAAAAAGTTTGGTTTTTATTACAATGTTGCTTCTATTAATACTATCCAAATACTGTTCTATATGCCTTTTTCTATTATTATTTTCAATTATCACTAAATTAGTTTTATCACAAATTTGTTGGCAAACAGTGCCATAGTAGTATCTAAATTCCAGTTCATCCACCAAAGAATTATAGATAACATTTGAATCACTATCACTAATAGTGCCATATTTATCAAAATAAGCTACATATTTTTCGAAATTTCTTTTCCGTGGTATTTCTATCATTGGGCGAAAGCAGGGCTGTTCTTTTAGGTTTTCAAGTATCTGAAAACTGTGCTTTATTGAGTCTATAGTACCATCTTTTGTGTAGCTGTCGCCATATCTGTCCACTTCTTCACTTAAGCAGTTTTTGATATTGGTGCCTGTACAGTAGATTTCTTTTGTTTCATAAGCCAATAAAGTGCCATCTTGAATTGTTCTGTAAAGCCAAGCCAAATCAATAACATCGTAATGTCTCCTTTGGCTACTTAGCTCTTTAGCTTTAGCATTATATACTCCAACCAGCACAATATCCACAGTATTATCGACTTTATAGAAAATATTTCCTCCAGCTTTTTTAACAAGAGCCTCAATTTCATCTTTGGATCTTTCGTTTGTGCCATTGAGGACATGAAAGAGGTAGCCTTCAAGCAAATCTGTAACTTTTCTTGTATCTTCAAATTTAACCACTTCAATTACTTTTTTTTTCATTTTTTTAACTTTTGTTTGTAAAATTTCCTCCAATTCGATATTCTTTTTGTTTAATTTAATCACAGCTTTATTTTTGTTTGTTAATTCCAGAAGTTCATTCATGTCCAGACAATCTTCTACTGGCTTATCTGTTCTTATGTTTAAAACCCGTGGAAATCTTAAAGTGTATGAAGTTTTATAATAATCAGTTGTTCTAGTTAACTCTGAAGCTCTAACAACAAAAATAACAGAATTGTCTGGTTCAATAAAATAATTAGGAACTTCTTTTCCAAACACTAAAGAGGCACTTTGATTATTGTCAAATATCCTGCCTTCACTTTTAATTTTTTTATTTAGCATGTCCAATTCGTCATCATTTAAACCACTGCTCACTTTTCCAAAAGATAAATAGATTGGTTTGCCATCCTCCGTTTGTCCAGAGCGCACGCCTACTACGAAAGAATTAAGCTGGTCAGATGTTGAGGAAGCAAATTGTCCACCCATTAAAATTAGATCTAGATCATTCATGGTATCCTAAAATTAGGAGAAAAATCGTTAATACTGGAATAAGTTCAAATGGTCACTAACCTGGAAATATTCCAACTTCATTTTATACCATCCACTATTCCTATCACTATATTTATAAATTGAATCTGGATCTTTCACAATAATACCTTCTTCTTCATGGTCTACTGCCCAATTGAGTTCATTAACTATTTCTTGTTGTGTATGGGTTTCTTTAACTTCACTTAAGGCTATTGTGCCAGGTATGGTGTCTTTTAAAACGCGTCTTAGTATATTATATCTATCTCTTAAAGGTCTGTTAGTAAGAATATTGTCATTAAGTAATATTATATCGTATATGCAAAAACAAGGTTGATATCTGCCACTTTCTTTCAATTTTTTAACATCTAATTCCATGCCTTTAGAGCCATATTTTTGAGTTTGCTTATTCCAGAGCATCATCTCTCCATCTAAGATGATTTTTTGAACAAAAGGTTGGAATGTGTTTGTTAGTTTTGGAGTAAATATACCAGCATTCACTGTCGATCCAAAAGTCTCTGTAAAATCGAAGCCTCTCCTAGAAAAATATTTGAATGTTCCATTTTGCATGTGCAACTGAAATCTTTCTCCATCAAATTTATTTTCTATATAGAATAATTTATTCTCAATAAAGTGTTTTTTGAAAATAGCGGCATCAACTCTTTTTGATAACATTGGTCTAAAAGCTTCAAATATTTCAATGTCAAGCTCGTGTAGGTTAATATTCTGATCATACAAAATTTCACAGACTTTTTTTAAACTGTTGTTGGACGCAAAATAGTTGGCACCATCTCTGTGATAACAATTCAGTATTCTGTTGCCATCAATCCCAAGCTTTAGATCTTTCAGTATTATTCTAATTATCCATCTGAAATGAGAGTTGGTGATTAAAAAGAATCGGATGGTTTAAGGAGGACGGTACTATACAGCAAATTCATTGGCTTCTTACCTAGAGTCTTCCGCGGAACACTTCTTGAACAATAATTCCATTAGAATATCTGCTGCTTCTCCCTCATTGCTCCTTTTAGATAAATCATCCAAGCTACTATTAAGCTCATGAATTTTCAGTACTGTCTTGCTCTTCGATAAATATTTACGTATAACTGAATAAACCACATCACCAAAGTCACTAGCCTGGCCAGACATTAAATAGGACTTGCTTAATACCTCTCTATCGTTACCAGCTGGTAGAGCGAGCATTTTTATTAAAACCCTGGCGATTTTTGATTCCTTCATGTTGTACGAGCCTCTTTCCCGGTCTAGTTTCGGTAAAATTAGGCGCATTAAAGCGAATGTGTCTTCTTTCGATTGATTTTCTCGGCATTTTGTGAAATAGTCTCGAAGAACTTTGGCTTTTTCGTAGTGGCCAGGGGTTTTTTTGATCAAATCAAAGAGATCGCACAGTGTTTTAAACTCCATTTCTTTCAATAAAATAGATTTTAGTACATAATTTCAGAATACTTTTACTTTGTTTATTTACACATATGCAGATGACGATGACAGAATATAGACCAGCATGGTCGCGTTCGATAACTTGGTGTGCGGTATATCCGGAAAGTTTTCAATCAAAATCAAATCAAAATATGCTTTATGCCCACAAAAAAACTGATTTTTCATTGATAAGGCTGTAAAAGAAAAGAAATCGTAAATACACAAAGCAATACACCAAAATACATATTAAAAAAAAACAGCAAGTACAACCAAAAGGTATAATAAAAAATTTAACTTATAACCAAAGTCTAAAGATCCTCGAACAAGTCCGCTCACTCTCGCTCGTCGCCTAAAATTTCCCTCCTGCCGACGCGCTACTTCTAGCCTATGGTTTCCCTGCTCAAGAGGACCCTCGTCTATGCCTTCAGTTACCGGGTGGCTTGCATCGCGTTCTATATCGGGTGCGCCAAGCAAAAAGTGTAATAAATTTTATTCGAAATTTTTGCGATTTGATAAAATTAAAACGCAATCATATATTTTTTAAGGTGTCAGCAATGGAAAGACATTTTAGGCTTTGTTGCAGAACATAGATAAGCACACAAAATTAACACTCGAAGCGGCTAACAGAATTGTCAGAATATGTTCTACACACTTTAATGAAAACTCATTCACTTTGTCCGAAAATAGTTATTCACCTAACAAGTGCGGAAACTTATACTTTTCTGCACGCAGCGGCAAGCCGTTAGTGCGGAAAAGATACTTTACGCTCGTGTTAGGTACAATATTTCTCCTACGAGCGTGCGGAAATTGACATATTGTTTTTTTATTTGTTTTTGGATCTACTAATCCTAAAAGAAATGGTCAAAAATTTGATTTTTTAGGAATTAGAAGAAGTATAGAATTTTTAAAACGTATGTCGCTTCTTGAACACACAAATGAAAATAATTTCCTATTTTTACATGAAATCGATTGCTAATACGTCAATTATTGACGTATTAGCAATCGAAGTTCGTTTTTCTTGGTAATATTTTATTTCATCTAATTCGTGATTGATAAATAAGGATGGAATTATTCTAATGGGTATCAAAAATACTATTTAATTAATTATTTATTATTTACCTAACAAATGCGGAAAATTATACTTTATCGCACGCAAGCGCAGTTTGGTCAAGCCGTTAAGGGTGGTGAAGGCACTTTCCGCATGTGTTAGGCACAACATTTTACCTATGACCATCTACATCTCCAAGAAAAGGCAGTAATAAAATTAATTAACGATTCAGATTAATTAATGAAATTAGATTAAATTTAAAAATTATCAAAAATCCCTTTCCTAGAAGAGAAGGGATTTTTGATTAAAAATATCAAAATCTACTTCACCGCACTCTATGCGGTAAAGTAACTTTACCTACGAGCGTACGGTAAAGTGCACTTTACCGCACTTATTTGCAAATGGAAAGTGGCACTTTACCGCACACTATGCGGTGAAGTTACTTTACCGCATAGTGTGCGGTAAAGTTAACTTTACAGCATAGTATGCGGTAAAATGAACTGAAAAGTGTGCGGTAAAGTTAACTTTACCGTATAGTATGCGGCAAAGTAGACTTTGGTATTTATGATTAAAAATCCTTTCTTTTTCAGGAAATGGATTTTTGATCATTTCTAAAATCTAATCTAATTTCATTAAGTAATCTGATTCATTAATTAATTTTATTAATGCCATTTTTTGGAGATGTAGATGCTCATAGGTAAAATTTTGTACCTAACATATGCGGAAAGTGCCTTTACCCCCCTTAACGGCTTGACCGAACTCCGCTTCGCGTCGTTCGGTCAACTGCCATTGCGTGCGGTAAAGTATCACTTTCCGCATTTGTTAGGTAAATAACTATTATCTCACACTTTGCAGTCTACTTTACCACACACTATGCGGTGAAGTTAACTTTACCGTACACTATATGGTAAAGTAACTCAACCGCATAGTGTGCGGTAAAGTGCTACTTTCTATTTGCGAATCGGTGCGGTAAAGTGCACTTTCCACATGTCCGTAGGTAAAACTTATTGAAGATGTCGATATTGGTCAGTACAAAAAGTTAATATCTTTCTTGAAGAGAAAGAACGGAGGAACGTAATTTCGAAAAAAAAAAAATTCTCAGAAGCATGACATAAGGAGAAAAATTGAAAAAAAAATCTGTGTGGAAAAACTTTTCTCGCGCACGCCGGTCTGTTTTTTTTTTTTTTTTTCACGCACACTGTGCGAAAAAGTGATACTTTCCGCACGCAAATCGGTGCTTGAAAACTCGTTTTCTGCACGCTTGTAGGAAAACCTTCATTAAAAACTGCTATTCCATCAAAGTTACTACCAGAACGTGATGTTAAGCAACACTTACCGCTGATTTTATAATATGAAATTAATTGAGTAACAATAATTATTAGGATTATCCGTCAATTAATTTAATGCTAATCGCTAAGCAGAATAGCTATTTATACAATAAGTTACGAAATGAGCGTCTTTTAGGCACGCGACGTGAAAATTGTCCAACGAGGCAAAGCCGAGTTGGACAACACGTCGAGTGACTAAAAGACATCGTTTCGTAACGTATTGTATACAAGATTTTTTCTACTGGCATTTTATAATAAAAAAATACAATTTTATTTCATGTGAATAAGTCGATTACACCCAAAATCTTTGTTACCTGCTTGCCACCTGACACTTTTCATGCGATTTTCTTTTGAAAATTCGACATCAATAGTTAAAATCCTAGAAAGTAGGTAATAACACAAAGTTCTGTTTTGAGTAACCCAAACGTTCAATTCAGTAATTCCATTTTCAATATTCATAATAAATACAAAACAAAATTCAAATATGTGTTTAGTGTGTTATTTATTTCTGAATAATGAATGACACTTTTAGGCACTAGTGCTTAAAAATTACTTTTACGCACTCATAAGTCACTTTTACGCATTCAAAAGTCACTTTTACGCACTGAGTGCCTAAAAGTAACTTTCACGCACTCAGTGCCTAAAAGAATGTCGTTTCAAAACTGAAATGACAATCGAAAAGTTGCTATTATGAAACGTCAGTAGAAAAAAAGTTTTTCCATAATTTTTTAAAACCAAAAAATTATTAACGTAAATATTCTTAAAAGACATTCTTTTTCAAACTCCCCCTGTAAAAACATTACCAAGTACAATCGGGACCAGCGCCCTCGTATTTGCTTCTTATCTACAAATCGGCGCGTGCTGACATGATTTACGACCTTCCGCAAAAAAAGCCGGCTTTTTGAGGAGATCAAAGGAGTGACCGGACTTGTTCGAGGATCTTTAGACTTTGTTATAACTTAAAACTATCAGAACCAAAAATAGTCAATCACACCAACTATAAATAAACAAAAATAAACAATTTTCTCAGTCGACATCCAACTAGAAAACAGGAACATCAGGCAAATCGTTACAAGAAATTCTCAAGAACAAATTAATAGGCAATTTTTCACGAACGAGGATAATCCAGCATAATCGATTATGTGATGTGTCAATTGTGTCCTACTCCGGTTGGGATCATCTTTTTTTCATTTTTGATCTGTTCTATGGGTGAAAGATAATATAATAGGTCTGTTTCTACAGAAATCACAAACCAGTCAGAGTGAATTTCATTGGTTGAAACTAGTTTTCCAACTGTTTCTGACTATTTTTAACCAATGAAACTCGCTCTGACTGGTTTGTGATTTCTGCAGAAACAGACCTGCGAATACCATGAAATTACGTCATCAAGTGATCTGTCATTTTGAACCAAACCGTAACCGCGGTTAAAACCACAAAATTTGTGGTTATTCGCTTAAAATTGGCTCTAATGTCTACGGGCATCCTCAACACTATTTAAGTTGTGTTATCTGCGCAAGTCAAACAAACATTAGCCTGTTCAACCTAAATTGTGCCCCTCAAACTCAAGGATGATACACACTACTACAGGATAGCCTCGTCATAATAAGGCATGTGTGGGACAGATCACCCCCTTTCCCCTTAAGCCAAATCACCATTTGTGACGTGCAGCAAGTTATTTCTCGCCTTGACGTAGGCTGTTTAAACAGCTGACGAGTCATGACTCATGACGTCGGAAATGGTGATACACCAATATGGGGGCGATTACCAAAAACGAGGCCGATAAGCAATCCTTAAGGGCCCCATACACTACGGTGAAACACGACGGTTTTCACCGCCGCGAGGAAACACGTCGTGCCAAAACCGAAGTGTGTGGTAGAAAAACACGACGGTTTTCTACCACACACTTCGGTTTTGGCACGACGTGTTTCCTCGCGGCGGTGAAAACCGTCGTGTTTCACCGTAGTGTATGGGGCCCTTTAGAGAGTGTATTCTCCTTGCCTCAAACTCACGTCCCAGCCCTTTCTTTGACCATTTATTAAAAAATAATAATAATAATGACAAAAAAAAACTGCGAAAAATGTTTTGGAGTGATTTTGTGTTCGGTAGTGAAACTTATATAAACAGGCCTGAAATCACTGATCTCAAAATAAATGGATAAACAAAGAACCCTTCTAATGCTGCTAATTTACGAGGTCATAATCTAAACAAAAACAACTGACTGGGACAGCTGTGAGCGTGCGCAGTAGATACATGTACTGTGCGTGCACAAAATCTGGCCAATGAAAATGAAGGAATTTGAAAATTTAGAACAGTTGTTCGAAAGATAAGACACTGCGCAGGCGTTAGGCTGTTCCGTTGCACAACTGTTCATAGAATATTGACGCCAAATTTTCGCACAAATTTTCCCAATCAAGCCGTATGATTGTTTATCCATTTATTTTTTAGATCAGTGCCTGAAATCACCTGCCTATGAACTCCACAGGCCAAACATATAGGTAGTCAGACTTGCGAAATATTGCTCAGAATGGCCAGACAATGAACTATAACCAAAACTGGAACCTAGGAGGAGCTCCGGAACAGCTCCGGGGCTTCACGCGCTTATTCCTTTCCAAAAGTGTTTGTTGCACCACGCATCTGTCCCCCAAATCGGAGGCGACTAAGCACCGGAGCGAG